TTGTTTCTTGTCCTGCCCTCTGGTGCTTTGGTGAATAACGTGCCCCCCCTCTTCTTGGTGGCAGCCCCTCAAACACTGGAATACTGCTATCATGTCTCCCCTATTTCTTCTTTTCTTTAGACTAGCCAAACCCAAGTCCTGCAGCCGTATTTCATGCTGTATGCACAATTAATGAAAATATCAAACAGCGTATCCCATCATATCAAATCTGGGAATAGTGACTACTATGGGAATAAAAATGAGTAGCCTGGGTGAGAAATAATTTTAGCTACAGCAAAACTCTAGTCATGTACATCACAAATATCTTGTATCTTAAATTCTCATTTTACCAATAGAGGAAAATATTTGTAGCTCAGGGTTGAAATGACGGGTTCTGGGGTGCTCTCAGAGCTTGGTTGTTTTCTTGCAGATGTTTCATTACCCAAATTACATCGTCGAGGCTACTAAGGAGTGGGATGCCCTGTCAGGATGCCCTGTCAGTGTTGGTGGGTGTGGTTTTGGTGGTTATTTGGTTGGGCTGTTTACTATTAGCTTGTCCGGCAGTTCCTTGATTGGGATATTTTTTACTTCTTGATTGTTGGTCTGAGGTTAATCTCGGTGTTAATCTATGTTCATCTGGGTGTTGATTGCTGGTAGGGAGGTGTTTTGATTTTTTTTGTTTTCTTTCTGGCTTGTTGATTGTCTCTTTTGTACGGTATGTAGATGTTGTTTATGTCAATGCCTAATGATGGCTGATTTGTCAGAGTGCCAGGCTTCCAGAAATTTTTTAGCATTTTTGGACTTAGCTTGGTAACAGTTTCCCAGATGAAATTACGTCTGTCTGTCCATGTGTTGTAAGATTCATCATGTCTTCTGACTACTAGTTGGTGTTCATGGATATGTTCTGCTAGTCTTCTGTTTGTCCTATGCCAGTGCTTCTCAATTATTTTCTGTCATGCCCCCCTAGGAAGAAGAAAACATTTCGCGCCCCCCGCGCGACTGTAAATAGTATCATTTGTCTATAAAATTGTTATAAATACACCTCTGCATAACACTGTATCCTTATTAACGTATATGAGAATAAAAAAAGAAAGAAATGTGGATCAATTTACAACAAAGAATAGCTTTATTAACTGTAGCAGAAAAGATTTAAAGGAGCACAATATTAAAAAAAAACTTTAACCTGCACAACAAAAATATATAAAATATATTTCCTATTTCCTCGTCTTAACCTTCGGAAGACTTTCTTTTATCTCCTTCTCTCCTTCTCTCTCCGCCTGTCTTCTCATCCCTGTTAAAAAAAAAATTTCTGTACAGAGGACCGATTTCCGGGTTTAAAAGTCACACGGGCGGGTTTGGCCAATCAGGATAGAGCATCATGTCTATCCAATCGGGTCCTTTGCATGTGTCACGTGCGTTGGCGGTCATGTTGTCCTCCGCGTCGGGCTGCTACTGGGGCTGCGCTGGGACAATCTTCAGTGTTCGCGCCCCCCTTTACGGAGCCTCGTGCCCCCCTGGGGGGCGCGCCCCACTATTTGAGAAGCACTGTCCTATGCAGTGGCCGTTGCAGTCTTTACACTGTATATTGTAAATCAGGGGTCCTCAAACTTGGCCCTTTTATGACTTGTGAACTTCAACTCCCAGAATTCCTCAGCCAGACACGCTGGCTGATGAATTCTGGGAGTTGAAGTCCACAAGTCATAAAAGGGCGGTTTGAAGACCCCTGTTGTAAATGATTCATGGGTTTTTTTTCCCCTCCTGGGCCTGCTGGGTCTTTTCGTTTACTTAGGATATTTTGAAGAGCTTTAGTTGGTTTGCGTGCTATGCTGATGCTACATGGTTGTTATAGTCTATTGCTGGTTTCTGAGATGTTTTTGATGTGTGACAGTGTTATCCTTGTAGCTTGTTGTAATGTGTTTGAATATTAGTAGCTCGAGATGGTAGTTGGCCTATTGGTTTGATCTCCAAGCTTGGCGATGTGGCTGCAAATATTTTGTCTCCATTTGGGGGGAGGACACATCTTCAGTGCTGTTTGAATTGAATTCAAAGCACACTGAAGATGTCCCCACAAATGGAGACAAAATGTTTGCAGCCAAATCGCTAAGCTCACAGGTCAAACCAACAGCCCAACATATAGCTTGTGTTGGTTGTGCTATATTGGGTTGAGTGGTCAAGCACTTTTTGATGAAGTTGCATGGATACCCATTTTGTTTCAAGGTGTTATAGCAGTGGTTCTCAACCTTTTTAATGCCGCGATCCCCAACCGGTCGTAAGTCGAGGACTACTCAACCGGTCGTAAGTCAAGGACTACTCAACTGGTGCAGCACCGTTTGCAGAATGGGACTTTTGGCGGGCTCAGCAGGGCAGAGACAGCCTGGACAATTCCTATTGGCTTTTGAAAGCCAATAGAATTAGACTCTATTCAAGAGAGTCTATTCTATTGGCTTTCAAAAGCCAATAGAATAAAAGGGAGTAGCACAGCTAAGGAAAAGGGGGGGGGGAATGGCGGACTGCGTTGTTTGGCGACCCCCGTGAAATGGTCGTTCGACCCCAAATGGGGTCCCGACCCACAGGTTGAGAACCACTGTGTTATAGAGATTATCTGTTTCCTTTTTCTTATGTTCAGGGTTGCTGAGTGTGCTCATCTGAATAGTGTTCTTACACAACTTCTCTTATGAGAGGTTGGGTTATTACTTTGGTAATGAAGTACTTGCTTGGTGTGGGTAGTTTTCTATAGACTTATGTTTCTAGTTTGCAATAGAGGTGTCTGCTGATAAGGATATCCAGGGAAAGTATCATATTGTTGTTTTCTTTTTCCCTTGTGAATTGGATTCTTTTGAAGATGTTGTGGATAGTTTCATATGTGTTCTCTAGTTGGTCCTTTTCTATTATACTAAAGGTATCAACTATGAACCTGATCCATATTTTGGGTTGTATATATGGTGAGTGCTACTGATTCCACTTGAGGCCACTCCTACCAATGCTAACAGGACAAGCCACTAGAATATAAAATGAGACCCAACTCCACTCCATACTATGGTAGTACTAATGATGTTAGTCTGAGTAATGTTTGAGTAATGAAACATCTACAAGAAAACAACCAAGCTGTGAGCACCAAGGACCCCTCATTCTCATTTTAATTTCCTAAACAAGTGATGGATATTCTTTTTTCTAAACTACTTCAGGTTTTTTGTAAGTATTATCTCAAGATATCTGAAATTATAGCAGCTATTTTTGAGGGTTTTTCCATTTTTCCAATGAAATTAAAATATATTTGTTCAGACTGATTTACCTTAGTACCCTTTCATGGTCAGCAAATGTTTTAGTTGGGATGTGACCATGTAGCCAGCATGATACATGATGTGATTAATTTTTCTAATATTTCTCATTAAAATTGGGTGTATGATATTTATCAACAGTCTTGGATTTTGAACTGAATTGTTGACTATTAAATCAGAACAATAACTACATTTTGATATGTTAATCAGGCCTGATAGCCCTAAGTACTTCAGAATAGTTGTGCTAAGATAAAAGGATGTAACATGTTATTTGCAGAATAAGGCTGTAGAGTAATACTTTTTGACTTACTTAGCTCCAGATGAACAGGAAGAAAGAAAAAGCAAAATAATGTCTTCCTGGACCATCAATAAAGACTTTTCTCATACCTCTCCCTTTGCTTCAGTGACTAGAGGTTATTTGTTAACAAATTGGCAACAGAACACTGGGTTGAATTATTTTTCACTGCTGGACTTGACCTTAAGCAATTGAAGTACTGAGTTTCTGATAGGGGCAGTTCACATTTCAAAAAACAACAACAACCCTTACACAAACAAACCAGAATCTCAGATTATGGCAAACCTAATAACTCTGTACAGGTCAACAGGTCGTGCCATGGAAGGATTTCATTCTTCCTGCCTGTTTCGTTTGTGGAATCCATAATGCAAACTACTAAGGATTTGAAACATGGATTCCAATTACAGTATAGTTGTTTTCATGTATTGATTGATTAGGTGCTATCGGGTTGCTTTCGATGCCTAGCAACCATTTAAATTTTCTCCCTGATGCTCCATCCCTAACTTGTTCTTGCAAACCTCCCAAACATTCATTACCACTGTAACTTAGTCCATCCAGCTTATTGCTGTGATTTTACATTTGGAGGTCATTTTTATGTGAATAATTTTTAGTGATAACATATGGGTTTTAAATTAAAAAAAAAATAAGGAAAAAAATACAAGACGTGAAAATTTTGCCCTTGCAGCAATTTAACGCACTTTCAATTTGAATGTACCTTCTAATATTTTTCTTTTCGTTCTTCAAGAGAATTTGATTGTGCTAGCACTTTAAAAAAAAGTTTAAATTGTTTAATTGAAGATAACAGTAATTCAAAAGAGTGCACTATTAATTTTTAAGGAATAGAGTATAATTTTCATAGTTCCTGCCATAATAACCAAATCACATTGCATCAAGAAGATACTTGTTTGGGGAAAGTTTGCTGTATATACAGTACACATAGGCAACATAAATACTAATATAAATTCATATTAATGATTATTTTCTTTGTATGGAAAGGCTATGTAAAGTAATCAAAAGGGCTACTTTGTACTGTAAAGTACATTTGTGCAAATGAAGGATATCTGTTTGGAGCATTAAAGTAGCTGTGTCTTTGCAAATGTGTGGGATGGCTGTATTTTTTTGTTGGGGTCCAACAAGAAATATTGGTGGTATAAACACATGAAATTTGAAACAGGTGTGCAAATCTTGAAAAGAACACTATGCTAATGCTTTGACGACAAATCTTTCATTTATTGTTAATGCACTTTATGCAGCATCTGTTTCAAATGATTTGTAAAGCTCCAATATCTAAATCACTGTTTCTCAACTTTGGCAACGTTAGGATGTGTGATCTTTAACTCCCAGAATTCTCCAGCCAAAATATTAGTCCACACATCTTAACGTTGCTGATCTAGAGGTACTTTGCATCAATAAACGTCAAGAAATAAACAAAAAATCCCATTAAACCATTTTCATGACAGCAGAGGTAACGGAAATTTATTAACAGCAAATGGTTTGCCACAAATTTAAGAGTGAAGCAAGACATCCAATATTTCACGGAGATGATTTCTCTCAGTGCTAAAGCAAAGTTCCTCCTGTACACACAAACCTATCAGGATGGGAATAGAGAGAGATGTAAAATTAAGAAATTATTTCTATAGTCTTTTAATCTTTCCTCTATCCTAGTATGGATCAAGGAAAAAATAATTTTAGCATTTATTAAATCAAGATAGGCCTAAGAACACTGCCACATTACCATTTCCTCAGAAGCAGTTTGAAGATCTGGACTGCTCTTCTGCCAACTTCACAGTGGATCAATACAATAAATTGCTTTCATATAAATTCTCGTATGTTATACTTTTGTCTGGTCATGGGCAAATCCAAGTGGAGAGGAAGCTGCAAAGCCATCAGGGTGTCTTTCCTTTGAAAGATCCACTAAAAGTGGCAAACTCAAGAAATCAGGAGGTAAGGAAAAGCAAAAGTTCCTGCCAATTGAGAAAGACTGTTCACTATCGCCTCACAGCTGCAGCATTTCAATGTTTTATTGAGGCTTTGACTGTATTTATTGATTGATTTGTTTTATGAGATTTATATATTGCTCACCTTCCAGCAATTCTGGTCAATTCACAAATAAAAAGTAAAACAAGGGAAAAAACTTAATAAAAATAAAGGAGTAAAAGATAGCAAAATGACGAAAACAGATAGAAACAACAACAATAAAACCCCCCCATCCACACAACCTAAATGGGACCTTCAATCAGCCTGGCCAAAAGTCTTGGCAAACAACCAAATCTTCAGTGTTTTTCAAAACACCTGCAAGATAGAGACCGTCCAGATCTCAAGGGAACCTTATTCTAGAGGGCAGGCCCTACTTGATGAATGATACATCAGAGTGAGTGAATAGGAATTAATTATTAAAATTTTCAGAAACCAATGTTTCATTTTGTGCCCATGATCTTATATCTAGTGTGGCATAAGATTCCAAACTTTTCAATATTGGTCCTTGAATGCAGGAGTGCTGGCTCCTTTACATTTCTAAGTAGAAAACACTTAGGGCACTTAGGTTGCAGCCTAGAAATTTTGGGATAAGAGTTCATTCCATTCTAATTTTATTTAAAAGTCTTATTGTGTTAACAATCTCTCTTATTTTAAAATTCCAGATAAATGGCTGCTCCCATCCTGCTTTATAGACAGTATGGAAGTACCCTAACTGTTAAATAACAGCTTTAAAGAATGCATTAAAAGTATTACATTTCGGACTTACGGTGGATCTGCGCGCGCGATGGCGGCTACTTTGTAGCTGTCCTCCTGGGTAAGTGTTTGAAGCGCTATGAACAGCGGCCATCAGCTGTTTGGCGGTTCAAAATCCCCCTCCCGGGCAAAGGGGGGGGGAAGAGTTAATCTCTCTTTTTCTTTTGTTTAATTTTTGTAACTTTTAAGAAGGAGTAAAGATTTTTCTAAGATGGCTCCAAAGCGTCCAGTAATTCCTACAGCTCCTAAGATGGTTTCTTCTTCGGTGTTATCATCAGTGCAACAACCTAAATCAATAGCTTCACCCTCTTCCTTGGTACAGCCAATAATTGTGAAGGATTTGCAAGATATGATGGGAAATGTTATATCTCAAATTAGGGCAGAAATGAAAGAGATTTTAGAGGAAAATAATAAGATTTTGAGGCAAGAGATAGTTTTGGCTCTAAAAGGAGTTGCCTCTGTTCTTGAAAAGCTGAACTCTCGTGTAGAAGAGGTAGAAGAAAAAGTGGAATTGATGGAGGGAAAATTTGAAAGCATGGAAAAAGAAATGGAAAATGAGATTCTTATGTTTCAATATAGACAAATGAATTATAAGAATCAGAGGTTTGGGAGAGTCTGTGCAAGGAGATCTGAGAGAGATGGTTGCAAAGGACTTTGCTGTGATTTTGAATAAAGAAAAAGAGGAAATACTTAGTTAAATTGAAAAATTATTTAGAGTTAACTCTGTGGTGGCAGTGCAAAAGAATTTGCCAAGAGATGTGGTAATTTACTTCGGGAAAAGATCTCTGCGCAATGAAATTATACAAGCTTTTTATAAGAAGAGATTTCAAATTGCTTCACAAGATGTTATAATTCTAAAGGAGATCCCATCTAAAATTTTAAGAAGAAGAAAGGAGTTTGCTTTTTTAGCAGATGAACTTAAAAAGAGACGAATCTTGTTCAGATGGGATGTTCCGATTGGAATGGTGGTGAATTACCTGGGGATATGTTATAGACTTAATACTGTTTCTCAAGCAAAAGACTTTTATACTTCGGTCCTGGGGGTATGTTCATCGCCATCTATTAAGTTTAAAGCTTTGGAAGAAAAGAAGGTAGAATTGCAGTCTGAAGAGCCTATACTTATGAAAATTGGGAAACCTCAGTTTGAGGGGCCTCAACAAGTTGAGATGGAGGAGCAGAGGATAACCTGTGCAACATATAACTGTAAAGAAAAGGAGCAACAGAAGAAGGTTAAGGAAGCCTCACAACTATTGGTTTCTGAATTTGTGGGAGAAGTAGGATTTATAAATTTTTTGGAGCAACCTTTAAGGGTAGAATTAAGTCTGAAGAGCCTATATTAATGAAAAATGGGAAATCTCAGTTTGAGGGGCCTCAACAAGTCGAGATGAAGGAGCAGAGGACAACTCGTGCAACATATAATCGTAAAGAAAAAGAGCAACAGAAGAAGGAGTTTAAGGAAGCCTCACAAGTATTGGCTCCTGAGTCTGTGGGAGAAGCAGGATTTATAAACTTTTTGGAGCTACCTTTAAGGGCAGATTTCAAAGCACTTCTTTCGAGATTTATGGACAAGAGAGACTGATAAGGAATGTGTTTATTGTGAATGGAATTTGTTATTGGTAAAGATTTAAATGTGTATAAGGGAATTCTAATGTTTTAAGTAATGTTCAAATTTGTGTTTTGGAGGGAGTTTATAAAGAATGATGGATAATAACATAAGTATGATATGAAAAGGTTCAGAGTATATTATAATGTGTTTAATGATTGGGTTTTTATTATTATTATTATTTTAAGAGAAGATAACTTGTTTAATTAAATGTACCTAGATTTGTTTAGGATTTATATGTCTTTTAAGTTTTTTTTTGATAGGAGAGAAGATTATGGAGATTGAATGAAAATCTTAGATAAGAAGTTTAAGTTTAAGTATTTAGTTTAAGTATTCAAAGAGTATTTAGTTTTAATGGTATAATGAAGGTTTATATGTTTATTTTTGTGTTCTAGGATAAAGAAAGAGGGAGAGATTAGATTTTATATTGTAGGTATAGATATTCAAAGAAAGTAATGTTTAAATTTGTGTTTTGGAGGGAGTTTATACAGAATGATGGATAATAATATAAGTATGATACTAGAAAATGTTTAGAGTATATTATAATGTGTTTAATGATTGCAATTATTATTTTTTAGAGAAGATAACCTATTTAATTTAATGTATTTAGATTTGTTTAGGATTTATATGTGTTTTAAGTTTTTCTTTTCTTTTTCTGAAAAATTTTAATTAAGCCTGTACTCAGCTCTGGGAAGGTTGGGGGAGGGTTTGGGGAGGTGGGGGAGGGTATGGGAGGGTGGGGGGGTTTGGGGAGGGGATTTGTTTTGTAAAATTTAAAAAACTTTCAATAAAAAAAAGTATTACATTTCTTCCTGTGCAGCAGTATGGTGGACAACAAACTAATCTTCATTAATGCTGCCATCCTCCATTCCAAAGACTTCCAGCTCTATTCTTAGCCTGAAGTAAATTAAATACTTGAAGTTAAACAATGTAAATAGGATCAAAATAAAAGTAAATATAAAGGAAACAAAAGGAGACAGAAAGCTAGTAGCCATGTTTTCTTTTTTTTTAAATGAAGTTTTTATAATTATAAATAAAATGTGTAGGAGTAGGAATCCTGGTAGATGCTAGAGGTGGTTATCTTTGTTTTAGAGTACTTCAATAACATAGTGTTTCTTCAATTAAATATCGACTTTTGCTTGTATCCTAATAGATTTTATAGATACGGTACCTAAAATTTACATTTTGAATCTACTTCAAATAGATAATGCACCATAGTCCAAGGATAATTACTCCCTTGCCTAGAAATTCTCATATTTCAGAAATGAATCTATAGAAAGTTAAATTATGCAAAATACATCCCCACTTTTCTGCTCACTTGTTGCATTTCTCTTGCAAATCAGAATTGTACTTTGAAGCTGCTTCAAGATAATCTTTTGCTTTTTTGTTTTCCTCTTGAAATAATTCCCTGGAAATGAAAAGGTGTGAATAAGAGTTCTTATAGGTCAAATCTATCCAGATATTCATTGCTTTTGTGGTGAGAAATTATTAGCATATGCATTTTTATTCCAACAGTCCAAAATTACAAAAAAATATAATGAGGCATTCAACACCTTTTAATAATGTCTCATGTAATTTTGCTCAAGGCATGTATAATTTATTTTATTTTATTTATTCATTCATTCATTTATTTATATCTCCTTTCTAAACTGTCCATCTCCCTCAAAGAAGGGCAGTTAATTAATAATAACTTTACTCTTGGAAAGTTGTTACTTATTTTAAAAAATAGCACTTTTACTTGCTATTATTTGTTGTTGTTGTTAATTGCGAAGTCGTGTCCGACCCGTCGCGACCCCATGGACAATGTTCCTCCAGGTCTTCCTGTCCTCTACCATCTTCTGGAGTCCATTTAAGTTCACACCTACTGCTTCAGTGACTCCATCCAGCCATCTCATTCTCTGTCGTCCCCGTCTTCTATTGCCCTCAATCTTTCCCAGCATTAGGCTCTTCTCCAGTGAATCCTTCCTTCTCATTAGATGGCCAAAGTACTGGAGTTTCAACTTCAGGATCTGGCCTTCTAAAGAGCAGTCGGGGTTGATCTCTTCTAGGACTGACCGGTTTGAACGCCTTGCAGTCCAAGGGACTCGCAGGAGTCTTCTCCAGCACCATAGTTCAAAGGCCTCAATTCTTTTGCGCTCAGCCTTTCTTATGGTCCAACTTTCACAGCCATACATTGCAACTGGGAAAACCATGGCCTGGACTATACGCACTTTTGTTGGCAGGGTGATGTCTCTGCTTTTTAGAATGCTGTCTAGATTTGCCATAGCTTTCCTCCCCAGGAGCAAGCGTCTTTTAATTTCTTGGCTGCAGTCCCCATCTGAGGTGATCTTGGAGCCCAGAAAAATAAAATCTGTCACTACCTCCATTTCTTCCCCATCTATTTGCCAGGAATTGAGAGGGCCGGATGCCATGATTTTGGTTTTCTTAATGTTGAGTTTCAAGCCAACTTTTGCACTCTCCTTCTTCACCCGCATCAAGAGGCTCTTTAGTTCCTCTTCACTTTCTGCCATTAGAGTGGTATCATCTGCATATCTTAGGTTGTTGATATTTCTCCCGGCAATCTTAATTCCAACTTTTGATTCATCTAGCCCTGCCTTTCTCATGATGTGCTCTGCATATAAGTTAAATAGGCAGGGTGACAGTATACAGCCTTGCCGGACTCCTTTTCCAATTTTGAACCAATCAGTGGTTCCGTGTTCGGTTCTCACTGTTGCTTCTTGACCCGCATATAGGTTTCTCAGGAGACAAATGAGATGGTCTGGTACTCCCATCTCTTTAAGAACTTGCCACAATTTGTTGTGATCCACACAATCAAAGGCTTTTGCATAGTCAATGAAGCAGAAGTAGATGTTTTTCTGGAACTCCCTAGCTTTCTCCATGATCCAGCGTATGTTGGCAATTTGATCTCTAGTTCCTCTGCCTCTTCGAAATCCTGCCTGTACTTCTGGTAGTTCTCGATCCACATACTGCTGGAGTCTAGCTTGTAGGATTTTAAGCATAACTTTACTAGCATGTGAAATGAGTGCAATGGTGCGATAGTTTGAACATTCTTTGGCATTGCCTTTCTTTGGAATTGGAATGTAAACTGACCTTTTCCAATCCTGTGGCCACTGTTGAGTTTTCCAAATTTGCTGGCAAATTGAGTGTAGCACTTTTACTGCATCGTCTTTTAAGATTTTGAATAGCTCAGCTGGAATACTGTCACCTCCACTAGCTTTGTTGTTGCTCAGATTTTCTAAGGCCCATTTCACTTCACATTCTAGGATGTCTGGTTCGAGGTCAGTGACCATCTCATTGTGGTTATCTGGGATGTTAAGCTCATTCTTGTATAGTTCTTCTGTGTAGTTTTGCCATCTCTTCTTAATCTCTTCTGCCTCTGTTAGGTCTCTGCCATTTTGGTCCTTTATCATGCCCATCTTTGCATGAAACGTTCCCTTCATATCTCCAATTTTCTTGAAGAGATCTCTGGTCCTCCCTATTCTGTTGTTTTCTTCTATTTCTTTGCACTGTTCATTTAAGAAGGTATTCTTATCTCTTCTAGCTATTCTCTGGAATTCTGTATTCAATTGGGTGTATCTTTCTCTTTCTCCTTTGCCTTTCGCTTCCCTTCTTTCCTCAGCTATTTGCAAAGCTTCCTCAGACAGCCATTTTGCTTTCTTGCATTTCTTTTTCTTTGGGATGGTTTTAGTTGCTACCTCTTGTACAATGTTGTGAACTTCCATCCATAGTTCTTCAGGCACTCTGTCTATCAGATCTAATTCCTTAAATCTATTTGTCACCTCTACTGTATATTCATCAGGAATATGATTTAGTTCATACCTGAGTGGCCTAGTGCTTTTCCCTACTTTTTTCAATTTAAGCCTAAATTTTGCAACGAGAAGCTCATGATCTGAGCCACAGTCAGCTCCTGGTCTTGTTTTTACTGACTGTATAGAGCTTCTCCATCTTTGGCTGCAGAGCACATAGTCAATCTGATTTCTATGTTGACCGTCTGGTGATGTCCATGTGTAGAGCCGTCTCTTGGGTTGTTGGAAAAGAGTGTTTGTTATGACCATCGTATTCTCTTGACAAAATTCTATTAGCCTGTGCCCTGCTTCATTTTGTACTCCAAGGCCAAACTTGCCTGTTATTCCGGTTATCTTTTGGCTTCCTACCTTAGCATTCCAATCCCCCATGATGATAAGGACATCATTTTTTGGTGTTAATTCTATAAGGTGCTGTAGGGCTTCATAGAACCGGTCAATTTCATCCTCTTCAGCACCAGTGGTTGGGGCATAGATTTGGACTACTGTGATATTGAATGGTTTGCCTTGGATTCGAATTGAGATCATTCTGTCATTTTGGGGATTGTATCCCAGTATTGCTTTTCCTATTCTTTTATTGACTATGAAGGCTACTCCATTTCTTCTGAGGGATTCTTGCCCACAGTAGTATACCTGATGGTCATCTGAGTTAAATTCACCCATTCCTATCCATTTTAGTTCGCTGATTCCTAAGATGTCGATGTTCAGTCTTGTCATCTCTTTTTTGACTACGTCTAGCTTGCCTTGATTCATGGATCTTACATTCCAGGTTCCTATGGAGAAAAAATCTTTACAGCATCGGACTTTCCTTTCACCACCAGATATATCCACAGCTGAGCGTCCTTTCGGCTTTGGCCCAGTCGCTTCATTCTTTCTGGCGCTACTAGTACTAGCCCTCTGCTCTTCCCCAGTAGCATATTGGACACCTTCCGACCTGAGGGGCTCATCTTCCAGCGTCATATCTTTTTGCCTTTTAGTACTGTCCATGGGGTTTTCATGGCAAAGATACTGGAGTGGTTTGCCATTTCCTTCTCCAGTGGATCACATTTTGTCAGAACTCTCTGCTATAACCTGTCCGTCTTGGGTGGCCCTGCACGGCATAGCTTATAGCTTCATTGAGTTACGCAAGCCCCTTTGCCACGACAAGGCAGTAATCCATAAAGGGGACTTGCTATTATAGTTCATTTTAAATGTTAAAAGGTAATTTCTTGGCTATCCTTGGGAAGGCCCAAATTTTCTTAGATATTTCTAAATATTATTATCCCAGAAGAGAATGGAAGTACTGTATACTCACAATGCAGACGCAGCTGCCTGGCTTTTCAGAAACTTCCTCTCTTCACTAAAGGCAACCTGGCTCAGCAAATCCAGTTCATCTTGAACATGAGCCAGTTTCTCTTGGATTAGTTTTTCTAAATGGAATATTACAACATATAAGTCCTTTATGGCACATCACATGTAAGAATTCTTACCTGCCTTGAAAACTGAAGGTACTTTCAAAGTACATTAGAAATTAACTTTGTGGCAGCGCTATATTAATGCTGGGAGAGATCTCAGGCATTGGACAAAAGCTTCATTCCTTTATAATGAAACACTGCCATAACCATAGCTTTCCAGAGACAGAAAATTATACTTGAATATAGTTTCAAGTTCGGTATTAGAAAGGAATAACCCATTATGCCAGTATAAATCAGAAACTATAGTGTCTAGCCTTCATATGAGTTTAAAAAGAAGATAGGAATGTGCAATATGTGCCACATTTGTTATACAGCACTATCACTTTATTGACTCTACAGATGGTCCTTGACTTAAAACCATTCATTTAGTGACCATTTGAAGTTACAACGGCACTGAAAAAAGTTATATATTACCAGTTTTCATACTTACGACTGTTGCAGCATCCCCATAGTCATGTGAACAAAATTCGGGTGCTTGGCAATTGACATGTATTTATGACAGTAACACTGTCCCAGGGCCATGTGATCACCATTTGTAACCTTCCCAGGTCTGACAAGCAAAGTCAATGGGGAAAGCAAGATTCACTTAATGACTGCAAGATTCACTTAACAACTGCAGTGAGTCATTTAACAAAAAAAGTCATGAAATGGGCCAAACTAACTTAACAGTTGTCTTGCTCAGCAACAGAAATTTTGGACTCAATTGTGCTCATCGTTGAGGACTACTTGTAGTGCAAAACCATTCAGTTTTCTGTGTATTATGTGTATTTACAGTCAGATCACATTTTCAGAACACCTAGGGGCTTTTGCACTGTGTTCTACAGAGAGCTAGCCCTAAAGGGGATGTGGTGTCATTGAATAGGCAGAGGAAAGCCAGAGCTGAGTGTTGGTCAGGATCAGGGCTGGGAGAGTGCTAGCTTGACAGAGCAGCCTCAGATGAGTTACAGGTTGTGGCTGAGCGAGGTGAGCCATAGCTGCAGCAAATTGGCCAGGAGGTGCCAGGAGAGGACCAGGAGTAGCTGCTGCCCATTAGCAATGAGGAGAAGGTGGAGTCCAAACCTCCTCCTGATCCAAGGACATGTAGAGCAGAGAGGAGACAGGCACAATGCTGGTCAGCTAGACTACTCGCAAGGAAGCAAACTCACCTCTCATGAAGGGCTGCACCAGCATTGCCTATTTAATCCAGCCCTGAGGACTTTGAGGTTGCTGGAGCAACAGGTCCAGTTCTGTGCCTTGTGTGCTTGTGCTGTGTATCCTGACTTGTGGACTGTTTTGCTGGACTTTGTATGTGCCTACTGGACTCTGTTACCCAATGACTCTTGCTGTACTAAGCTTGGAATCCAGACCTGTGCAAAAGTGTGCTTACGGAGGATCTATTTGGGGAGTTTGAATAAACACCTGCAGACTCTTGCTGTACATGCATGTGTGTGATGGGAGTGGGGCAGCACATTTGGAAACCGTAGATGGTCCAGAATGCAACAGTGTGGATAGTTCTGGGCATATCTCAGTACAGTATGCCTGTGTTACAGCAGTGCTTTAGAAGCTGCATTGGTTCTCAAAAGCATCTGGATGCAATTTAAGGTGTGGGTAGTTACCCATAAAACTCTACATGGTGCATGGATAGGCTATTTGGGGGAACATCTGTCCTCAAATATATCTGGCCATCCCACCAGATCCAACAGAATAAGCATGTTTGGGGTCTTTGATCATGATGCTCAGATGAAAGAGTGCCATATAGTAGGACCCAAAAAGCATATTTTCTCTGTCAGAGCACCTGCCCTATGGAACAGTACATTTCCTGAGCTCTGAAAGGTTGCAATCATATTAGTCTTCTAAAAAGACCTGGTTTTTCTCTCAGGCATTAGGCCAGGTTGTCAATGAAGTCCAACACATATTGGGTGTTGATTAGAAAGTAATCTTTTAGGAGCTTCGACTATATTATAAAGTTGTTTTTATAATGTTCTGGGTTCTTATTTTTATTACATGGTGAACTACCTAACGACACAAGGTTGAGATGGGCAGCTGTATAAATTCTCTGAATAAATATTGAATGAAGTCATGTTGAAGGTTTTAAAATGTTAATTTCTTTTCTGCTCCATCACAGATTATGTGATCAAGACAAAATAGATGTGAGCATGAGGCAGAGCAGGACAAGCTCACTTAGCTTTCCAAGCATGTAACCATACCTGTCATTACATTCTTCCAGTCTTGGCATTAAATACCTGATTGGATCAAAAATTATTATCCTTAATTTTATGGCGAGACATCACCTAGTGCTATAAAAAAAGAACCCACACTTTAGATGTGGCAAAGTGCGTAATTATAGTCTATAAATAATTTCCAAATTATTGGAACTTAGTATGAGGGGCACATGACATGGATTTTGTAACTTGCTAACTAACATAGTTACTTTGTATTTTAATTTGCTTTATTTTCTCTCTTTTAAAATGATGTTCAGGTTTATTAGCTTTTAACATTCCTAAATTGATAAACAGGCTGGAGACTAGCTCCAGATAAGAAAAAGGTTGTTAGTACAAATTGGGGTCCGGTTTATATCTTTTGTGAACTCCAAACAACAATTTAAGCCCCTTCTGATGTCAGACCTCATTTTAATGAACATGTGTAATAATATGGGATGCAAATATGTAACATATTTGACTAACTAACTTACTTCCTATCCAAAGGGAAAGTTATTTTTATCCTGTCCAATCAACTTTCCTCTTCCATTTTCTTTGTTAACTATAAAAAGAAATGTAACATAGGGCTCGGGGTTCTCTCTCTCTTTTTTCATAGAGAGATCTCACTATATCAGGGTACCCTAATAAACTGCTTTTAAATGATCTTCTGACTCAGTTGTTGATTGGAGAGGTAAACTGAGGCATGCTGATTTTTTTTCAATATGAACTTTGTTTACACTGATGCTAACAAGAAACATAAAGTATCCTAGTGGTAGTTATCAAATAAAGCTAACTCAGTATACGTTGTAGGAATATAAGATTTGGTTATACTTAATAGAAAAACAATGTATAGAAAAAATAAACTTGTATCTATAATTTGTTTTATCTAAAAATGAATCATCTTCCAAAATGACTGTGCTTTGTGACATGGTCAGTAGACTCAGAATTATTCAAACTTACAGTTGCATTTTGTCAGCCCTTTGAGATTAGCCGGAACAGGAAAATGACCCACAAGCACTACTAGAATTCTACTTTATGGATATAGAACAGACATGTTAAACTCGTGACGTCACGTGACGTTGTGCAACATATTGAGACTTTTTCCCCATTGCCGGCAATGGGGTGGACATGGTTTTCTCGTGACGCATCCAGCCCATGGGCCGGCAGCTTGACACCCCTGATATAGAGTATATACTAATCGAATCTTGGAAACCTGAGAGAGATTCTCCCCCGTCCCCTATATGCAAGAGAATCAAGGAGAGGCAATCTTGAGTTTCTTTCTCATTTTCTTCCAGGGCTAATCTGGTATTTACCTAATGGCTGTTGAATTTCTTCTTCAAGGCCTTAAAGAAATTCCTTCTTCGAGGCCTTCTACTCTACATCTTTTCAGCATTTTAAAAATATATGTGTTATCTAATTTGGCAATTAACACTGGAGTAATATACCAATGGAAAAAAGGTGTCATGCTAATTTTCTGAGTATAATATTCATAGCAAACATGGTGTTTAACTTGCATTGATATTCCCATTGTTGCATATCATTTATGCTGTTTAAATTCTGCATTCATTTAATTATGCAATATTTGACTTGTTTTATACCTGAATCATATTTTAGTTACAACCTACATTTAATCCCTAAGCCTTCAGATGTTCTGTGTATTGATTTAATCTTTAACAATAAAACAAATATAAAACTTTTCAAGAATTTCTCCTTGGAATAAGCAACAAGTCATTGGTTTTAGCATCTTCAAACATGCAGTATAGCTCAAAAGAAGCTTAAAAAATAAGGTAACATTTTTAGAGATTTAACCAAATTTAAAATGCTTATATCACAAACCTCAATGCAAATTAAGGAATTAATTAAAACAATTCTTGCTCTATGAATGAATGAAGTTTAACATTAAGGATATAAACAAATGTAGATTTAAACATTACACTTTGTTACTTATTACAATATTTAATAGGCACTCCCAATAGAGAGCCATAACTTCAGCAGTCCACGAATGTAAAGATCATGGAATCTAAAGAAGTGGAATGGAGATTCAATATTTTTCAGCAAAAACAAAATTAAATATTGTGAATATTTAAAATCCATTAATACAATCTTGAAGGAAGATACACTTGAGTTTCACATGGCTGATTTTAAAAAAACATCACTTGGAATGATTTTAGATTGGATAATCTAAATTACCTAAATGCCCCAAATGGTACGTTCTCTTTCTCACCTTCACGTAGTAACTGCTCCTTACTCTCTTTCATGTCAGCCACTGGTTTCTCTCTGGCCTGAAAAATGGAAGATGATATCATGAAAAGAAACAAGACAACAAAAAAATATGCTGTATATATGAGGAAGGAAATCAATAAAAAAAATCTCCCAACTTTAAACAAAATCTCCAAAATTTAAAGTAAATTATTTAAATATCTATATAATGTGGTCAGCAAAAACAAAAACTAATAGATAAGTGCTATAGCATCAGGAAGAAGCCAACCTTTCCGCTCATGCTATTTAGCCAATTAAACTCAGAGAGAAATTATATTTGTCCCATGGGGTAAAGGATTAATTATATATGGTATTTATTAAATAAATAATTGTTTTAACAAAATGCATATTTAAATACATAAATAGCCTCCAGTTTTACTCATCAAACAAATATTAATATGAGGGAGGAGTATGAAAGGTAGGATGTTAATCAGAAAAATATCACAGTAAAAGATAAAGTAATACAAATAAGAATAATGTTTTTACATTAATTATATGTATTTTAATATTAACAATCCCATCTGTTTACGTGTTAGCTGGATTGAGAGACTGGCAATCTTTTTGTGATCAGATCTATCCCTCTATAAATATTTTGTCTGCTAATGAGGAACAAAGGGATAACAAAAATATGATCTCACTAGAAAGAAAGATTGCATTTGGAACTGTTTCTCTTTCTCTTGAGTTTTTTTTTCAATATGAATTTTGTTTACACTGATGCTAACTCCCAAAGTTTATTCTGTTATTCCTCTGTTAAGAAACATAAAATATCCTAGTGGTAGTTATCAAATAAAGCTAACTCAGTATACTTCGTGAGAATATAAATCTTGGTTATACTGAATAAGAAAATAATGTATAGAAAAAATAAATTGTATCTATAATTTGTTTTATCTAAAAATGAATCATCTTCCAAAATGGCTGTGCTTTGTGACATGGTCAGTAGATTAAATCTATTGTGAATTTATGTACTGTTCTTTTTCCACTAAACATGTTGAATGTTGAATTACTGCTGAATTCAGACAAAGCAGTCTCAGTGGGACATGGGAACTATAAATACATTAAAACCCATATATTAGCTATGAGTTGCCCATTCCACTAAAGAAGACAACTCCAGTGTTACCAAATAATGAAAAACCTATCAAGAGTGCTTGAACTAGCCATACTCTATAGACATAGAGTAAATGCATGTATAGCATTCAGCAACACTCACATGCCATCATCTGTCCAGCAGTAATCGTACATTGGCACAGGAGCCATGGTGACATGTAATCTGGCATCTATGGGGTAACGTAAGTCTACAGGTAGTCCTTGACATACAACCACAATTGAGCCCAAAATTTATGTGGCTCATTTGTTAAATGAGTTTTGTCCCATTTTATGACTTTTTTGCCACAGTTGTTAAGTGAATCATTGCAGTTGTTAAGTGAATCTGGTTTTCCCATTGACGTTTCCTGTCAGAAGGTTGCAAAAAGTGATCACGTGACCCTGGGACACTGTAACCATCATAAGTACATGCAGTTGCCAAGTGTCCAAATTTGGATCATGCAACGATGGAGATGCTGCAATGGTTGTAGGTGTGAAAAACGGTCATTAAGTCACTCTTTGAGGGGCTATTGTAACTTTGAATGGTCACTAAACGAACTGTTGTAAGTCAAGGACAATCTGTATTCCTAAGTTGTATAGAATGATCATTGTGTCTCTTTGTATGTATGTTCTTGCCATTTGGGGTAAATAACAGCTATATAATAGTTTTCTTGGTGCATAATAGGCAGTCTGTAAGCAAATAATATGTACCTCCCTGCTCCTAATACACCCACAGGTCCTTAGAGTATTTCTCCAATGCAAGTAGCTGATTCTCCTGAGAGGATTGTCCATGCCTAATATAGTAATATCCATTCTTTCTATTACACTTTTAGACCTCAGTACGAAACTGTGAAATATCTTTTTGTAGACGGGGCCAAATGTTTTTTTAGCTAATTTGATGTCCCTATTCCCAAAGGCAATAGGATTGGAATTCAAGATCTCTCACTCACAGTTTTGCTGCCTATATTTATTGAATTTTAATGAGTATTACATTAATTAATACAATAAATATTAATAGAATATAATTTATGCTACAGGGAAAAACAGACCCTTACATAAAGTTCCCAGAGATTCTTGTGCTTCTCCATCAACTCATCAAGTAACTGCTCAAATGCCATTCTGAAAGCAGAAAAAAAAAATACAAGACAGGAAGAAGACAGAATTGAATTATTGCGTTGCAAATAATTTCAGCTTCTTGCTGCATTTCTAGAGAATGTCAACTGCAACAGAATGTAGCACATCAAGCACTTGGATGGGCTTTCTTGCAAGGCTGGTCAAGGGGAGGCACTGTCTTAAATGCAGAGCCTGGTCCTCAACTTTGGAAGTACTGAGCCATATATAGTACTGAGCTATATATGTTAGAAAAGGTGAAGCAGGTGCCAGTCGTAAAGGGCATTGCTATGGAGTGGGTGATTGGTGTGGCCATGCCTATTAATTGTGCAGTAAGCCAAGAAGCTGCAAATAAAAGCATCAGCCATGTTACTTTGACTAGCATTGGGTCCATTTGTATTCTAGGCCTGGTAGCATTCTTTAGTAATCCTCTGCCTGCCATGATGTTACTTAACTTAATGGAATTGCAGCCACTGTGCAGTAGGGCAGGGCAAATCTTTCTCAAGGCAGAGCACCATTATTTTTCTGATTCAATCACCAAAGTGCTGGTCAGTGTTGAATCGCCAACGATTTGTGCAGTTCAACGTGCACAAACTAGCTTGATTTTAGAGAGGATGCACAAGATACACACACCCACACCATTCCTGCAAGAGTTTCTAAAAATACTGTCTTGTTCATGTAATACCAACATTATACAGACATACTTGACACACTGCTATAGATTCATCTTGTTCCACATTCAGTATTCAATATTGGCTATTCATTTGTCTTCTGCACCTTGTAATACTGTAAATACAGGACTTCAGAATATTGAGATAGCATACAATTTCCCATCATGGCTAAGGCCTACAAACTATTCTGTCTATCTAAATTATTTTATACCTATTTAAATCAGAAGAACTATCATTACCTATTGTGGTAAGGAATTCCATATACTAAAGATATTAGGTAAAATAGTATTTTTGTTAGTATTAAACTTATGTGGAAAACGAAAATATTGGCTATTGTTCTTTTATGCAAGGTTTAGGCCCAGGTAAACTGAATCAGGCCTCATGGACAAAGTATTGAACCAAAGTCTGTGCTATGCTTAATTTTGTTTTTTCCATTGGGTTTTTCCGCGACATTTATCTACAAACAATTTTATTGAATGACCTAAATGTTTTGACAAAATCAGAGATTTCTTTAGTTGCATTACTATATTATTTATTATTTCAATTAATGCAGACTTATTCTTTACAGAAAATGATTTGCTAGAGGAATGAAGTCTGAAATGTGATCTGATAAATGTAAATGTAATAACTTCTTTGATAATACATGAATTAAGTGAAATCAGAAGATGCTAGCCCATGGACATTTATAGCAAAATTGCAAGATTTTAGGAACCAACCTCTGTTCCCTCTGCTTCAATTTTTCCATCTTAATCTTGGCTGTGATTCCTTCAATTTGTTGCTTACAGTCCAGGTTCAATTTCTGCTCCCTGGTAAATGAGAAGAAGTCAAGATATTGAATGGGCTAATTCTTAATTTTGTTCTGATAATCACTTTGCTCTTGGGCTATATATTGCAATATAAATCATTTTACTGAAAACATATGCAATAGAACAGAGCAGAGCAGAGCAGAGTTCTTTATTAGCCAAGTGTGAGTGGACACACAAGGAATTTGTTTCTGGTGAATAAACTTTCATTGTACATACAAGCAATAAGTAATAATCATGATAAAATACAATCATCATAAATCATAATATATTGACAGCAGTTTTGATATATAGATTTTATTCCAGTAATTTGTTGTATTTCTGTAGTCTAGAACATTGCTCAGCACTTTTTAATAGCTGCTGGTAAGTCCACAAAGTAGGTGGATGAGAGGCCTTAGCTCACCTCTGCATTTCAGCTTCTGTCTCCTTTGAATGCATCTGCATGACTTTTTTGATCTCTGCAAGAAAGGTAAATATTAACTCTCAGCAGTTCAGGTTATTCTCTTTCTGCATAATATTTCTGCAATGGTTTTATGGGCTGTATGTTATCTCACTGAAGTAATTTCTCTACATATGCAATCACATTATGCCACACTTTCATTAGATAGAGCAACAAGGGACTGCAGGAAAGAGAATGTTCTTTTTCTCTTCTATATTCAGCATAGGTAATCAGAAAATTATTTAAAGAAAAAAGGCTCATCAGGAAAGTGTGTTGGGCTTGTGATGACCAGCTTGATGAAAATTTTGGTCCATGAAAAAGTTTAATTCCATCTTATGAAACTTCGAGAAGTAAATAAAAAATAATTAGAATAGAATAGGAATAGAATAGAAATAAAAAATAATATGGTTAATATTGTCAAGTACAGAAATTATTTAAATTATCAGGTGGAGAAAATACATAGAAATTGTTTTCTCTCTGCAGCACATACGACTTTTAAGTGTTGGTTTTTTTACCTTTAATTACAGTAGTATCTTAGTACTCAACTGCTTTGAAACTCATCAAATTTGGTGTTCAATGTATTTTGATGTGAATAAGTGACAGGAATTTGAAATTGGGGGTGGTTTTAAACTATGAGATGTGTATTTTAGGATTTAGTTTTCATCTGCATCTCCTCTCAAAATTTGGGGAATTGTTGTCTTTTGTCAGGGATGGCTCAGAGCACTATAAAAGCAAACTTGTGCTGCATATAGCCTGTGGCCACAAGGTCACACCTTGCCTTAACTCATTGCCCATGAAATATGTCATCTTCATGTAACAAATGGGAATAAGTAAAGCTGAGAGGAGAAATGCTGATTTTTGTAGCTTAAAAAAAAAAATAGGGCAATGCGGTGTTTTAGTATTGCCATTGTCTCAAATGAATTTGATTATTTTTTTCCCCTCAGTTTCTGCTGTAGTTCTGTAAACCATCCTAGAAATATATGCATTGAAGGATGGAATATAAACATATATCGTAACAGCAACAGTAAGAAACTATTAACACAAAACTTAGATTTTTTTTCTAACATTATCAATAGAAACCTATGGTACAAAATGGTATGAGCATGGAAAGATAAATCTTAATTGAATTAATTTTACAATAATGCCAAAACATAAAGCATCTCTTAAAACTGCATTTCATACTGCAATGTATATTTTGAAACTGTATTTCATATTGTAGTCATATTGATAGTGAACTGTCCTTGAAATAAATATGAAATTTTAAGAAATATAATGTGGAAAAGTACTAAAACTGATAATAAAAAAAATCAAGACGGTATCTCCAAATTTTCCATTACCCTTTTTCTCATTCCATATTTCTTCAAGGCTTGACTTCTCAGCATTCACTACAAGAGAAGGAGTTATTTCATTTAGGCATTATTTTTATCATCTTGTAGAAAATACAAACAGAAGAAACCTCAAATATTGGTGCTTATTTTTCTAAAACTGCATTATAAAAATCTGCCCTCTGCTCCCAGGTACTGCACATTTTCTACAGCTATAGTGTCCTCTGTCTACAAGCATGAACAGAAAAACCATTCTATGTAATCTTATTGAATTGATCTTTCGTGTTCTTATATGCTGGTTGTCCAGTTTGTGGTCTCCCTCCTGTTTCTCAGTCGTTCCCATATAGTATACTGTTATATCTCAGGTAATATATTGGTTGTTGTTAAAATAGTTAAATTAACTGTCCTGTACCTGCAGATCAACAGCACTGTAAATCATACATAGCAACATAGCATAATGTGGCTGCTTGCGTAGTGATGTCCACCCATTATTGTTTAATATATATGAACCCATCATTATGATTTAGGTTATGTAGTAACCAGCTATTATGACTTATTCAGCATAGCATGGTTTAAAAATTTGCCTTAATATAGAAGAGACCTCAGAGGAGCAATGGCTGGAGGCAACTGGGGGCAATTAGAAAGACTGGCTGAGCACAGGAAGGCAGTCAAAAAAAGCAAGGCAGAGAGGCTAGAGATAAATAAGGAGCAAATTAAGAAAAGGAAGGATAGGGATGAAAGCTAAAAGCAAATCCCTTGTTGAGGAGAAAGCAGCCTTTCTCTTTGTTATATAGCCCTATCCTAACATTAACTTTTAACTTCAATATAAACTGCAATTTTTTTCCTTTAAAACCAAAGGGCATACCGCCACATACTTTTATCTATACCTAAATAACAAGGCAAAAAAACAAGCACAAACAGGCAGAAAAAAGGGATAGAAAAATAGGCATAATTACCTAGAACAGAGAAGCTAGAAACAAGGCTAACAGCAAAGCACATCCACCAACCAAAAAGAAGGATTTTCAAATAATAAACTTATGGAACAGGTGACTGATACTATTGTGGTATGCAATACATGTTCCATGTATGTGCTTATGCCCAAAGAACACCCAAACTATAGATGCATTAGATGTAAACTATGCAAACTACTGGAAGAAAAAGTAAGGGACTTAGAGGCAACTCTAGCCAAACCCCAACATACAAAAGAAAGCTCTGCCCAAACTGAACCAAATAATAAACAAATAACACCCAGAGGATTTGTCCCTACTGATAAATTCATGGAGGAAGACAAATGGAGGTATGTCATCCACAGAAGAAAACACAATACTCAAAGAAAGAAGCAGCATACAACTAACAAACCCCTTCTGCCCAATCCAACCCAACCAAAAGCAGCCACATTAAAACTGAGCAATTGATTTCTCCCTTTAGATGGAAACACACAGACCCACAACCTCCCTCCTCAAAGAAAACATGCAGACACCTAGCAAAGAAACAACTTCAAATAACCCTAAAAAAGCCATTTCAAATATCCCTAAAAAACAAACACACCTGAGACAAACAGAAAAACACTCCAGACTGAGGCCCCCCAAAAGGAAGGCAAGTGTTGGTAATAGGAGATTCTATCCTCAAAGGAACAGAATCATCCATCTGCAGACTGGACATACAATCCAGGGAGGTATGTTGTCTCCCTGGAGCAAAAATCAAAGATGTGGCTGAGAACCTAACCAAAATAATTAAGCCTACAGATTACTACCCTTTCTTCCTCCTCCACATTGGGACAAATGACACAACAAAGAACCTGAGTACAATAGTGAGAGATTACAAACAACTAGGCAATAGTTAAGAAGCTAGGAGCACAAGTAGTGTTCTCATCAGTACTCCCAATAAAAGGCCAACATCCATTGATGGGAAAAAGAATTCTAGAAATAAACCATTGGCTAAAATGTTGGTTTTGCCAAGAAAACTTTGGTTTCCTGGATCATGGACTGTATTTCCTACGCGAAGGACTCTTGGCAAGGGATGAGCTACACCTCACGGAAACAGGGAAAAATGAACTCGGAAAAAGACTGGCCCAATTCATCAGGAGGGCTTTAAACTAAAATTGAAGGGGAAGGGTGACCAATCTTTAGAATCTCTGGAACCCAAAACCAATCACAAATCCCAAGAAAAGAAATCAAACAATGAGGTAGGCAGTGATGAGAAAAAAGAAAAACTCAAACAACAATCAGGAGATGCAGGAAACATACTCTCGGACAGGCATAAAAGTCTTAAATGTTTATATACAAATGCTCAAAGCTTGGGGAACAAACAGGGTGAATTAGAAGCAATAGTACACAAGGGTGGATATGACATAGTTGGCACTATATGTAAGAGAACACTACATATCTACAGAAATGCACATGATCCAAGATAAAATCTCTCCAGAATGTATATGGGTCAATATAAAAGAGAAAAAAAGTGACATTGCCATAAGGGGGATATTACAGGCCCCTCAACCAATCAGAAGAAATAGATGAAGTCTTTGCTAACCAGTTAATAAATATATGTAGGAAGCATATAACAGTAGTAATGGGAGATTTCAACTATCCAGATAGCAACCGGGAGACAAACTCTGCAGCGAGCGGGTGATTAAACAGATTGCTAACTAACTTAGCTAAAAACTTTGTCATCCAAAAGGTGGAGGAGGGAACTAGACGTAAAGCTATACTGGACTTAATTCTTACTAATAGAGAAGAAGTGATAGAGGAAATTAAAGTTGCCAAAAGCTTGGGTGAAAGTGATCACATCATACTGGAATTTAATATAATGCGAACACTAGCAATAGTAAACAATTCAACCAGTGACTTAAACTGCAAAAGAGCCGATTTTAACAAACTCAGAGAGAACCCAGGAAAGATTCCATGGATGAAAATCCTAATGGGGAAAACAACCTAAGAAGTGTGGGAAACTCTGAAAAATGTGATCATAAAAGCCCATACCAGCACAATACCACTGAAAAAGAAAAACAAGACATTCAAGAAGAAACCAAGGCTGCACAAAGATCTCCCTGACAAATTGAAAGACAAAAAGGACAAATATAAAAAATGGAAAGAGGGGCACATAACTAAGGCTAATTATCAGCAGACAGCCAGAACATGCAAAGATGAAGTCAGGAAAGCAAAGGCTCAGAACGAACAAAAACTTGCAACAGAAACCAAGGATAATAAAAAAAAGTTTCTTTCAAAATATTAACAACAGGAAAAAAGTTAAGGAAACTATAGGTCCACTAAAGAGAGAGGATGACAAGGAAATAAAGGCAACAGGGAGAAAGCAGAGCTGCTTAACTCATTCTTTGCATCAGTCTTCACACAAAAAGAAACTACATCCCAATGTGCCAAAAAAAAAAACACTGCAAAAGACAAACTAGAAACAAAAATTAAAATAAGCAGGAAAATGGTAAGAGAACACCTATCCGACCTTGACAAATATAAATCACCAGGATCCAACAGACTACATCCCAGAATTTTGAAGGAGTTGGCAGATGTTATCTCAGAACCACTGCACCATATCTTTCAAAAACTCTGAAGCATCGGGGAAATACCTGAGGATTGGAAAAGGGCTGATATGGTTCCCATCTTCAAGAAAGGGGGGAAAAACAGACCCAGAAAACTACAGACCAATCAGTTTAACATCAATACCTGGGAAGATCTTAGAAAAGATCATCAAAAAACAGATCTGTGAACAATTAGAAGCAAACAAAGTTATAACTAGTAGCCAGTACGGGTTTGTTAAAAACGGATCATGCCAAACCAATCTTATTCATTCTTTGATAAAGTGACTAAACTAGTAGACCAGTGAAATGCTGTGGACATAGTATACTTAGTTTTCAGTAAGGCATTTGATAAAGTAGACCACAACCTATTCCTTGGTAAGCTAGAAAAAGATGGAATAGACAACATCACCACCAGATGGATCTGTAGCTGGCTGGCAAACCGTACTCAGTAAGTAGTTCTCAATGGCACTCCATCCACATGGAAAGAAGTAAGCAGTGGGGTACTACAAGGTTCCATCTTAGGCCCAGTACTCTTCATTATCTTCATCAGTGACTTTGATGAGGAAATTGAAGGGGAACTCATCAAATTTGCAGATTACACTAAACTGGCAGGAGTATCCAACACCCCAGAAGACAAATTCAGGATTCAAAAAGATCTTGTGAGAGGGACCTTGGAGTCCTAGTGGACGATCACTTGACTATGAACCAGCAGTGTGCAGCAGCAGCCAAAAAAGCTAATCCTGGGTTGTATAAACAGAGGCATAGAATCAAGATCACACAAAGTGTTAGTACCGCTTTATAAACCCTAATGAGACCACACCTGGAATACTGCAGCCAATTTTGGTCACCATGTTGAGAGTTTGGAAAAAATTCAGAGAAGAGCAACTAAGGTGATCAAAGGCCTGGATACTAAAACATACAAAGAACGACTGCAGGACTTGGGTTTGGCCAGTCTAAAGAAAAGAAGAAATAGGAGAGACATGATAGCAGTATTCCAGTATTTGAGGGGCTGCCACAAAGAAAAGGGAGTCACGTTATTCTCCAAAGCACCAGAGGGCAGGACAAGAAACAATGGTTGGAAACTGATCAAAGAGAGAAGCAACCTGGAATTAAGGAGAAACTTCCTGACAGTGAGGACAATTAACCAGTGGAACAGCTTACCCCCAGAAATCATGGGCGCTCCATCACTGGAGATTTTTAAGAAGAGGCTAGACAGTCAGTTGTCTGAGATGATATAGGTTCTCCTGCTTGAGCAGGGGGCTGGACTAGAAGACCTCTAAGGTCCCTTCCAGCTCTATTCTATTCAATGTCTATTAAAAACTAAGCATTCTTCAAAGTGGATTGCATTCTGAAAATAATACTTTTTTAAAAAAAAACTGATTGTGGAGGGGTTACTTAGTGATATTTGATTAATTGGCTTCAATCTGAACAGAAACCTACACTTTTCCAGTTCCATCTGAAGTGTCTTACTGTGTTCATTTGCCTCAGAGATCTCTTCATTTAATATCTTCTTAGCTGAAGAAAAATGCATAGAACAAATAGATTGAGAGCGGGCAGCTCAGGACAAGGACATTTTTGCATTTGAGTAATATTATACTATAATGGTCAAAATACATTTAAACCTTTGTAATATTGTAGGAAATAAAATCTAATCCAGTTCCAAGCTGGGAGAAAGACGCAGGAGCCAATGAATTTGGAAGCAGGCTGTAGGAAATGAGGTCTCCATTTATTTAGAAATCAGAAGCGAAGTGACATAGCAATCAGTTCTGGGACAGCTAACAGCCTGGAATGGCGAGTAGAGTGGTTTTTCTACCCTTTTGGACCTTTGAGATTGAGATGCCTGGTGAGGTTATTTGATTAGATTAATAATGTGCCTTTCTGTATTCTAGTTGTCCCTATTTGTTTCTTGTGGGGTGGCCGAGGTCTAGGCTAACCTTGGGGAAAAGTGGGAAATGTAAATTCTGTGTGGCTGTGTTTTCTGACTCAATTCAGCTTGCCTCAGTCTAAAATGCAGAAGCCACTTCTTGCTACATTCCCCGGTGGCTTTGTTTGCCCCTAATGGATATATAGTATTGTATCCATTGACTGAGTTTCTTCTAACCAGGATTACTTGAGGCCATTCTGGCTGGAAGGCAGGGATTGCTTTAGCTACTCTGGATGATTTTATTTTGCCTTCTTTGGGGGCATGGAAATAAAGGGAGGGGGGATATCTTATAATTCTTCCTACAATATTACTCAGCTAAAAAAAAGTACAACAATAACAATTTTTACTAAGATTGTGCTAGAGTTTCCTGACGGAGGAGTCCTAATAATAACGATTAAATATATTGTGGAGCTATTCTGCTTTTTATTTTTAACAGAAGACTGTAGATAGTAAAAGACTGAAACAGCAATGAGCATTAAATAAAAAGAAAAAACCTCCAATCTTGTAAAATAGGAAGGGGGGGGGAGGTCAAGGCCAGGAAATGTTTCTCCCAGGCTTCTCTATGGAGGCAAGATTAGTTGCACTGATATTAACTTTTCAGGAGTTAGTTAAAACTGAGTTACTTCAGAAGGTTGGGGGGTGAATTGTGACATTGTCAGGATTATGTAATGTTGATTTAATTTTGATTTTATTTTAAATTTATATTTAGCACAGAAATGTTTTGTTTTAGAGAACCTTTTAAAGACCGTGTGCCCCAAAACCACCCTCCGCCTCTGCTCTGCCTCGCGCCCTGCCTGCTCCGCCCCGCCTGCCCCCTGCCCTACCCGTTGAAAGGGCCATGCACTGCCTCCATGGCCCGCCGCAGCAGATTGCCCAGGCAGCCCTGCAGCGCCATGGCAGCCACGCCCTCTGCCCACACCCTGCAGCGTCATCTGCATGCTATGGGGCACGAGGGTGAAGTCTTGTCCCTGCTACCCATCTATGTCCTTGGCTGTACTGCTCTGTGTGGGCCATGCCCAGGGGTGACTCTCCTCCAGGGGGGCTGCTGGTGAGGAGAGGGCCGTGGGGGAGGCAGGCTGGGACGACGGCATCCGTGCCCATAGAGAGGGCTTTGAGTGCCACCTCTGGCACACGTGCCATAGGTTTGCCACCACTGTTTTAGAACTATTGGAAAAGTCTCAAAATACCACAGCATATTTAAATCAAATGAATAATTTCTTCAAATGAAGTAAAATATTTCTACTGCACAATTTATGTTCATCCAACTAACTTTATCAAAGAAAGTATATTAATGTAATCCGTGATGTCTCCAGCCAACCATAGAAACCAACCCTTTATTTTGTGTCCCATTTGAATTGCTTACCTTGCTGCAATTTATTAATTCTTTTTACTAGATCTTCTATTTTTGGCTCTAGATTTCCCACTACCAAGGAAAAGAAAAAGAAGAAGTTTCATTATATTAATACCTTAAAACTGTATATAAATTCACCATAACCACTTTCCTGTGTATTACTGCATATTTTTCCTTCCAGTACGAATGCAATTGACAGCTTCAGAGTGTAAATAGGATAATTTAAAATAATTAACTGTCAAATTATATTGATAGTTTATATTATACTGGTTGAAACTTTTTTTTAAATGAAAATTGGATCTTTAAACCTTTCCCCTAAAATCAGAATCCCTTCTTCCATTATATTTTTCTTCTTGCACCCAGTAAAAAATTCTGCCCTTCCCTCATCATACAATTCTGTTTAAATCAAAAGCATACCATACCCCTCTCAAATGAATCGATCCAGAAGCCACAGAATCTGGCCACTGTTTGGCATCAAAGCAATGTTACAATCACAATACTGTATACATACTGATTACATTTGATAGGTCCCCTAGATTATGTGATACGGTATTTGGTTGTTCCCCTCCCCACCCCGGAAGCATGAAATCAACTATTTCCACTGTACAGGCATAACGTTGCAACATGCTGTATAAGGATAGAAGTGGCAGCCTACTTTACACATTATTTGTTTATAGTCAACAATTACCATACTCATTTCCTACAAATATATCAGGAATTTCAGCCTTCAGATTCTGTCCAACTTCATCTTCTAGTCAGAACAACCCTTTCTATAATAAGAGGGAAAAGAATTCCAAATGTCTCAATTCCCAGCTATTTTCTATATGGTAAGCGGTGTGTTGTCCTCCAGATTTTAATAAATTATCAGCCATAGCTCAAATGTGAAACATCATAGATTTTCTAGAGGACTACCCACTTTAACCATTGATAGCTCACACGTTGCTGTCATGTGCACACTCCAAAATCTTACTAAGGTGTTGTCTAGTGCCTGGTGCCCAGTCTAACTGTTGGCCCTAGCTTCAAAATACCGTTTTGCATTTGTTTCACAAGTGACAGTATCTCTTCCATTTTTGATGCAAAATTCCAGGAATCTGGACAAAGAACAAGAATAAACAGAATCGTTTAAATGTTTCATTAACCCAAATATATATTAACTCATATACAGTATATCAAAATCTGGACAGCATGTAGGGGTTTTGCCCATATGGGAGATTTTTTTCTCTTAACTGAAAGTGTCCACCTGTGAAATGGAAATTGCAGTGTTTTCCCTGCACTTGGTACAAAATCAAAATTATAATATTTTCCACATAGAAAAGGTAATAGCAATTAACTAGTGCAATTTAGCAATATATGGAGTGGAGTAGAATAGAATAGAATAGAATAGAATAGAATAGAATAGAATAGAATAGAATAGAATAGAATAGAATAGAATTCTTATTGGCCAAGTTGATTGGACACACAAGGAATTTCTCCTCAGCAAATTTGTCTTCTCGGCAAATGAGTGCATTTTCAGATTTCTTCATGTGGCTGTCCTCTGCAGTTGATGTGTAGACAGTAAGGAGGATGATCTTGATGGAAATATGCAAGAACTATTATAGTGCTTAGGCAAAAGTGGTTAAATATATCTTAAAACCTGGGAAAAATTCAAAAGATAAGAATATTATAGAGCCATGGTGGCACAGTGGTTAGAATGCAGTATTGCAAGCTAATTCTGATGACTGCCGGCAGTTCGATTCTCACCGGCTCATGGTTGACTCAGCCTTCAATCCTTCCGAGGTAAAATGCAGACCCAGATTGTTGGGGGCAATATGCTGATGTTGTAAACCGCTTAGAGAGGATAAAGCACTGTGAAGCAGTATATAAGTGCTATTGCTGTTGCTATTCAGAAGCATTTCAGGCAGATGCCTTTCTGATTCACTGGAAGGGGATGAAGTACAATGCAATGCAAGATTTTGTTATTATAGATATGAATACAATTGGATAGAAAATTATTGTACCTTCCCTCCAACGTATCCATCAGAGTGAGGGCTTCCTGAGATGAATTGATAGAACACTAGAATAATATTTACATTAATATTATTAATAGTATAGAATATGTCATGAAATATTCTGTAGTTTCTATTAAATATTAATATAGAATATTGCAGAAGTATTTAAGAGTAGAAAAGGATTTGCAGAAAAGACTTTGATTATAATAGAAGAACTTTAGAGTTCAGGGTTGAGACTTAAAAAACTTTTTCTCTGCTGTATCCAGTGGGACCAAACTTTAGCCTTTATTAATATTTCATTCTGGTCACGCTCGATCAAAAACTGAACTGAAAGAAAACAATAAGCTAAATCTTTGGCTACACTTTTTTTTTCTCCACTTGGAAACAAATCTAATAACAAGGATGGACCGAATCAGGGACCTCCCATATAAGTCCAGTTTTAGGCAGCATTCCAAAAGAGCAAATACTCATAGTTAACTTCTTTCAGGGAAGCAAAACCAAGCTTTGCTGTACATAATTTCTCTTCCCTGTATAAGGGTAAAAGACTAGGAGCAAGGAATACCAGTTCCAAGCCCACTCCAGCCACAGAAGCTCACTTGATGACTCTCAGCCCAATCTACCTCTCAGGAGTGTTTTTGTGTGTGCAGATATAGAGGACGAGGGAGCACTATGTATGCCATCTTGAGTCCCTAAAGGAAAAGCGGAATAGAAATTTAACCAATGATAAAATATGTGATCCTGTCATAGCATAATGCTGGATCATACTTATTTTTCTGGATTTTGGTACATAATATTTTGGAAACCTCAACTTAAATCCAGCAGGAAATTCTGAATCTAGAAAGCTAAACACTTGCACCTGGCAAAAGAGAAATTATCTAGCAGCTACTTCTTCCACTGCCCTATTGAACTATCATTTTCCTTCCTTTTGGATTAAGCAGTTGGGGAAAGAAGAAGAAAAACCACAACTCATTTGCCAAATGTCTCTCACTAACGGTAAACCGCAACTTTTTAAAAAAGGAGAAGGGAAGCTGGCTGAGAAGGAAATGTTGATAAAATGGATGAGATTGGGTAAACCGCAACTTTTAAAAAAAGGGGAAGGGAAGCTGGCTGAGAAGGAAATGTTGATAAAATGGATGAGATTGGGGTAGAAACCCCACTGTGAAGAATTTTACCACATCTTGTGAGGATCTCCTCCCTTCTCCTTGCCACTTGTAGAAAGAAATAAAAAAAAAACCCTTTCCAGTATTTGGCTCCAAGCCAGGAAAGAAAATGCCAGATGACACTTGTGGAGAATCGTACTTTTTCTTTATTAGAAGAGCCCCAGCATAGAAAGCACACAGGGCTAGGCAATGGCTGTGCAGGAACACTGCCAAATACCCCGTGTTCATTACTTTTTATCTTTCAAGCCTGTGGCTACTACCGGTAGTTGACAGGTCCTTACTTGGAAATGTGATCTACTTTCTAGCCTGCTTGTCCCTTTTTCTTTTTGTTATGGAGAATTTGTATGATTTGTGATTAGTATTTTAATAAAGGAGATATTTGCATTTTAGCATGGCACCAATGCCACTTTTTGAAGTTTAGGAAATGATGTTTTTCCTTTGAACCAAAACCATTTATTTATGGATTTATTTATTTATACTATTTATTAATCCGATTGATAATAGCCACCCATTTCACCACAGGCGACTCTGGGTGGCACACAACGAACAGGTAAAACTACATATAAAAACATTTCATATATTAAAAATATAAAAATCACATTAAATATTACAAAAACAGAGATAGAAACCCTGGGCAGAGGGAATAAAAATAGCCAGCTCAACAATAAGCATGTCTCTGGTTATTTGGGAGTTCCAGGCCTGATACCGTAACATAACCAGGTCTTGAGGGCCTTCCAGAATATCAAAAGAGATGAAGTGTGGCATCAGGAGAGACTCAGGATGGGGGCTTAATGATTGTTACCAAGAATCTCTTACAGTTTTTAGGGGACCTGCCCCACATGCCCCAAATGGTGAGACCCTATTAATCAAGCTGAACTCTAGGGATCAGCTGGGATCCTTTTTTAAAAAAATTCTTAATACTTTATGCTTTTTAATAATAAAATAATAAATATTTATTCTTTTAAATTTTAAAATCAAATATTTTATTAAATAATAAAACATTAGTAAGTTTTAATATTATATAAACCTGAAATCTCCCTTGAAATAATAACATATATCATGATCTACAATGTTACAATAAAGAGGAAAAATGAGGAAAAAAAGAAATTTACTGTACATGATCCTCCCGCCTTGCTCAAATGGGGTTTCTACTCTTTCCAGGATTTTTTTAAAAATAATTTTTATTGAGAATTTTCCCTTGAACAAAAGAAAAATAAGTAATATATAAAAGAAGAAAGGAAGAAAAAAAAGTATAGGAAACAATACACTTCAAAGAAAAATAATAATTAAAGAAGTGTCTTCCAATCTTTGTTACCGCAATTATAATCAATATTATTATCCCTCTCAAATATAACACTCCCTTCTGTTCTACAAATGGCATTACTTCTGCTAAATATTCTGAAAATAATTGATATCATGATTTACAATATTACAATAAAAAGAAGAAAATGGGGGGGGGGCAGGGAAAGAGTCTGTGTGATCCTCCCACCTTGTTCAAAGTGGGGTTCTACTCCTGTTCTAAAAAATGGGGTTGCTTCTGCTAGATATGTTGCCTCCCCTCTGAAGGATCTGGATTCTTTCCTCTGATGGTCTCCATCTTTGTATCCATCCCCTTCTTACCTGGGTGGATGCCCTCCATCCTTTTCCTCCAGGATGCAGAAGGGTCCTTCCTCCTTCCCACCTCTTCTCAACTGACACTAAACAGGAAAAGACTCAGAGGCAAGTTCTGCTGCTTAGAGACCAATTCAGCTGCAGGCTGAGGAAAGAAAACTAGGCCTCTGTTTATCCTGCCCTTGTGTGCAAAACCAGCATGTGCGTACTGAAGAGTTACTGTGTGGATCTTAGACGTGTTTTTTTTTTCTTTTTTTTCCCTCCATATTTTTTATTTAAAATTTCCAATACAATAAAGTGAAAAAAGTGAATAATAAAGTGAAAAAAAAATAAAAGAAAAAAGACAGAAAGAAAACAGAGAAAAAAAACATAGAATTATGAGTTCCACCCTTCCTTTCCTTGAGCAATTCCATCTTAATTTTTTCCCTTCCTCCTCAATCCCTAAACCTCTAAATCATCAATTCAATATTTTCTGCTTCCAACAAAAAAGTTCATATAAGGTTTCCCATTCTTTTCTTTTTTTTTTTAAAAAAAGTCTTCATCATTTTTTATGCTGGCCAGTTGTGGGGGTTTTCTATGGTCTTGCTGTTACTAATACTGTGAGGAAGTGCATTTGGGCACATTGGGCATCTACTCCAATCTTTTGTTAAGAGCACACAGAAATGCAAATATTCAGACACCAACCACATTTAAGTCTCCAATATTTTATTAGGCTCCTTCAAGTGCAGCTGTTGACATAGCTTTATTATTTATTTACAAGAGCTCAGTTCTTCCTTCAAGACCTCAGAGATTCTGCTAAAGAGAAATACTCTGATGGGGCCAAGGATCCTTTGCTTACAACACTCCATCAAGTTTTCTATAATGTACAAAAGCAGCAAAAAGGAGGAAATAAAGTAATGGTCAAGTGTAACAGTCCTAAAATATTACATAACTAATACAAGATCCTAGGGCAGGTTATACAACTGAAGAGGATCAAAGAAATGCTGTGTCTTAATAGAATACTGGTAAAATGTGGAGAAGGGAAAAAGTGGGGGGAAAGCAAATAAGACTGAAAACATGATACTATACAGTTTTCAAGTTCAAAAAATAAAAGTCAAACACATGTTTCTGAAAAATAAAGAGCTGTTTCAATTAATAACAAAGTAGGGATTACTCTTCATTTAGCACCAAAAAGAAAAGATGACATTTTTTAAACAATCAAGTCAATCCCTTCCAGCTCAGAAGAAATTGGTTTCTAGGATCTGCTCTATTCAGAGTCAACAAAACCTACTTGAATTTCTGCTTTTTAAATTATTCTAGGCTTTATTAAGTCCTGCAGAATACAGAATTTTATTATGCACGATGCACTATTTTAATTAAATTTAATTTAATTTAAATTAGCCACTCATCTTACATTCTTGACTTTAGGAAACTTACAATTAGTGCTATGCCTGAAGCATTTCTTGAATGGAAGTGCTTCTGGCACAGCATAAGATTTACAGCTTTATTGGTCAACACCAGCTCCATGAAACACATTTTGTAAACAGCATGGAGTGAGAGAAGAGACAATCAAGCATACAGGCAATCCTCAACTTACAACCACAGTTGGGACCAGAATTTCTGTCAGAAGTTACTGTGGCTAAGTGAGCCATCACATGACTAAATCCAATTTTACAATCATTTTTACCATGGTTTTTAAGTTGTGGAGTCCTTGATGCTCCCTGAGCTTGGTTGTTTTCTTGCAGACATTGACTATGTGGACAAGATATATAAACAGAAAGCAAACCTCACTCCCTTCTATCACTGAAGATGTTACCTAGTTAGGTAGTGAAATGTCTGCAAGAAAACAACCAAGCTCATAGAGCACCAAGGTCTCCACAGTTCACTCCTGAGCTACATAAATTCTCTTCAATTGGTCATTAAGCAAATCAGACAGTCATTAAATGAATCACATGGCTGTTGAGCAAATCCGGCTTCCCCAGTTAACTCTGTTGGGATTCAGCTGTGAAGGTTGCAAATTGCAGTCATGTGACCACAAGGCATTGCAACCATTGTAAATGCACGTCAGTTGATAAGTTCCTGAATTGCAATCACATGACTATGGGGGCAGTACAATGCTCGCAACTTCAAGGACAGGTCATAAATCGCTTTTTCCAAAGCCATAACTTTGAATTGTCATTAAATGAATGGTCATAAGTTGAAGACTGTTTGTATAGGAGTTTCCTTGACCTTGCAGATGAACACTGAAAACAACTATACTGTCCAAAATCCTATATAAATAATTATTGTGGCTACCTTTATCATTCCAAAGACCTGAATTTATATATACCCATGTTTTCCCGAAAATAAAGCCGGGTCTTTCTTTTTTTTTTTTTTTTGCCTCCAAAAGAGGCACCAAGTCTTATTTTCAGGGGGTGTCTTTTATACTCAACTCCAGCACCGACAGCCCCGCCCAGCCAGCCCACTTCTTCTGACCGAAGAAGCAGCTTCATTCTGCAGCTGAATTCCGGCCTGCATTTTGCAGTCAGGCCTTTCTGGAAGGCCTATGCAGCTGAGTATCGAGCTATGGATTCAATGCATAACTTGGTTCTCAGCTGCAGTGGCCTTCTGGAAAGGCCTGTGACTAAGACATACAGGGCTAGCTGCAGAAGACACCACAGAAGTGGGCTAGCAAGGAGAGGCCTGGCTGCAAGTTGACTGGGTGTGGGGCACGTGGGGCAGCTCCAGACCCCCACACCCACCCTAGCTTGATTTTTAGGTATGCGCCTCGCCCCAAAACTAGGGCTTATTTTTGGAATAGGGCTTATATTAGGCCCACTCCCAAAATCAAGCTAGGGCTTATTTTCAGGGCAGGCCTTACTTTCAGGGAAACGGTATATATAGCACCACTCCATAGTGCTACCACAATTTAATAACAATGCAATTTCAAGAGAGAGGACACATAAAACAACACATTATTTTGCATTAAAGAAATACCAAGGCCACTTTAAAAAACAACAAAATGTATGGTTCAATCCCCTCCAGGGAGATTAACTACATTACTCCTCATGGTGTTGCCCTCAGTGGCTGAAAAAGATAAAAGTAAAAGTATAGCTCTAGGTAGTAAAACTTTGTCCATGTTTCTTTTAAGTTATGGGCTCAAGTCTTTTATACCACAAAGCTTGCCAAGCATTACTTTTTGATTTTGTCTAGATTTAAATACAATTGCCTTGTCTGCTTCCAGTTTCCAATGTATAGTAATGAAAAATTACACATAATTTACATATATATAATACAACATTCTTCCACTGGTAATAGAAAACATAATTTATTCTGCAGGTGCAGGATAACTGTTGAAAGGCTTTATATCAAAGCGAAAAGAAACATAAGGATTATCTTTGTGTAGTCTGGACTGCAAAAAATATCTTTTGAAAATGTTTTCAAAACATGCGCTTCAAGGATACAACATCTTACAACAGAAAGGAGCCAACTCTTTTGGAAGAGATCCAAAATAGTAAGTTACATTCGCACTCATTGGAGAAAGGGAGACATGCAGAAAGAGCCCAAATTGTCTAAATTGCATGGGCCAATAATAGCTGAAGTGCAACCCACCCCTGCAATATAATATACTTATTCCAGGTTTGGTATAGTTTTAAATAAATCAGCATTCAGCAATGTTAAGTTGTGCTCTCCCTATTCCAGACAAGGCAACAGATTCAGTGAAAGTGACAAATAAATGTTCAAAATGGAGTTCAAAACCTACTTCATCTCCAATATAATGGGAGGCAAAGCATGACCAATTTTATACCCATTGCAGCAGCTTTTGGATGTTGTCAGCTTAAGGAAGAAAATAGGCTTTAACAGTACAGCTAAGAATGAGTAAAGCTTGCCTCAGCATGAATTGAGGATGGGATGAAGGCAATACTATGGAGATACCACAAAAAAATGGCATGTTTATTTCATGATTAGGTGCAACAGGGAAAGACCCATCAGGTGACCAGTGTGAGTGGGATCAGAGTGGCATTTGTTCATGAATTCTGGGGCTATAGCTTGCCACTTCTCGTCCAATCCTTGGTCATCTTCATCTGTTTTGCCATCAACCCTAAAGAGCTGGGTATAGCTCAATACTATAAATATTTCAACTGCTCTAAAGTAAGGCTGAAGCAGTAGAATCATGAAGTGGTATTAACAAAATCAGGCTGGAATAATATATAAATCACTAAAATGGAGCAACTCTAAAAATGACAAGATCAATTTCTCCTTCACAGTTACCTCTCAAGCACACCACAAAGGAATCTGGAAGTCAGCATTTATTTTACATAAAGAAAACATGAGAAGGGGAGAGAAATCCTGCTGTATATGACACAGATTCCTTTGTGAGTAGAATCTGGTTTTTTTTTAAGTTTATTCAAAGTGTCCTGTCTGAATAGGGTACAGAAAGAGGACTCAAAAGAAGGTAGACAGGGTCCCATAGTCAGACCTATCTCCCACAGTGCCATACAGTATATTCTTTTAGATGATGATACATGTATAATTTGAGGGTGCAATGGCTCATAGTTAAAGTTGCTGAGCTTGTCACCTGGAAAAGATGACAGCTTAGGTACAAGACCCAAGTGCCACACTCCCATTACTTGCCCCAACTCCTGCGAACCTAGCAGTTCGAAAGTATGCAAATGTGAATAGATAAATAAGCACTACTTTGGCGGGAAGGTAATAGTATTCTGTGTGCAATCTGCATATAGTCATGCTGGCCACATGATCACCAAAGTATGTTCGGACAACACTGGCTCCCTCAGCTAAGAAAGGGAAATGAGCACTGCTCCCTAGAGTCAGACACGACTGGACAAGGGAAACCTTTACCTTTATATATATATAATTTAGTCAACATCATTTGGCAATGACTGCCGAACACACTCAGTAGAGGAAGACTCAGCAATGGGAAACAACAATATTCATGCTAGTATAGAGTTTTTTTTGACAACTCAAGACCAATAAATAGCATTTTAACTTAGTAGTGGAGAAAAGGTAAACAGCATTATACCTCAGCCTTGTCCCATACAATTTTGACCAACTTTCTTTTGTGGCTATTAATTCTGAAAATTAATATTCTCAAATTAGTGTTGACAGACCACCTGGACATCTTCTCCAGAGATTTATTTATCTAAAGAGAAGGTTTATAAATAAAATAATAATTTAAAAGTAAATAAATTAACATCTCAGTGAAATATATGTCGTAACACTACGCATAACTCACTAATGCCAACTAATCTGCATAGGACAGAATAGTTTTTTGAGCCCCAAAGGCTCAAAATCAACTGCAGGAACCAAGGAACAAAATCACATGCAGGAAAGACACAAAGTAGAGGAACAAAGAAAAAAAAAGTCTAAAAAAGTTAACAAAGAAAACAAAATTGTGTAGAAAGGCTCCTGACAATAGTACTATCTTTTTTGGTAAGTGTTTCAGATTTTCTTTTTCTTCCCCAATTGTTAAGGAGAAAAAAAATATTATTTAGAAACTATACTTTACCTCTCTCTAAACTTTGGAGGAGTAAAAGAATGTAACTTTTAAGTTTCTACTTGTAGGATCTCTTCAATATTTTTTATGCCCTTGGTTATCAGTTGAGTGTAGTCTTCAGGTAAATTTTAAAACATTTTAAAACTTTTCTAAGCAGACTTAGAAAAAAAAGTTGTATGTTTCTTACATCTGATAAGAAGGAATCACTTCCAGATAAAAAGGCTGTTTCTTTCAATAAATTAATTACCAACCAAATTACATTAAAAACAGGCAGCCTCATTAAAAGCATTGTTAGTCAACTTTTTGCACATCTTCAATTCTAGTAAAATAATTTGATTAAAATCATTTGCATAGATTAAATAAGTGCCTCAATTAACTATGTATAGAAGTACTTGTATAAAAGTACAAGATATTTAACCTACAAGTACTTACAGAGCACAGCAACTGTCAAAACTCTTCCCCTTCTAAGTAAGAAGAATGCCACTTTTAAGTTTGCCTTGTAAGAAATACATGTTTAAAATGTTCTTCTTTTACAGTAATTGTTTTTTTTACTTATAGCCAGATTTGATATGGGTTTAATTAAATTAACTGATCACTAGACTGCATTCTATTCACTAGACTTTAACATTATAAAGAAACACCCTTGTTATTTGCAACATTACCACAAAGGATCCCTGAAACAAATAATGCAGCTAATCCTTGCAAGTTAAAGATATTTTTTTGCAGAATGTGTGACAGATGGAGAAAGAAACAGATGCATGCCAAGATGGGCCTGATTTTAAAATGGATTTTTGTTGAAATTTAATCAGATGTCCCTAGTTCTCATTGTATCAGCTCAGCTAGAAATATAAGCCTTCATTACCAGCCAGCCATACACAAGCAGTGCTGTTCTTTTATGGGTAGAAAAAAATGCCAGCCAGAAGCAACCAGGCATCACCAGAAAGAACTGATTAGCAACAGATGCACCCTTCAAAACAGCATAATTCCTTCACTGCCTGCACTGTTGGCAAAGATGGTCAAATCCATTTTATACTCAGTTCAAAACTACCAACACACTTACACAGGAATCTCAAGTTAAATTAAGTCTTGCCTCACTATGCACATACATACTATCTCTCCCTTCCTTCATCATAAGATGTGATAAAAGGATAGGATTATATTTCCACATCTAAACCTTAATTTTAATGAATATGAACAGAAACACAAAAAGACCCAGTAAAAGAGCAACCAATTTATACAAAACATACTTTGCACAGCAGAGCAGCAACTGCTCAGGAAGGGAAAGAATACAACTGCTTGTCAGTCATGTCACTTTCCGAGAATACTTTCCCATCTGCTACTACATTCAGACAAAATCCAAATTTGGCAGACATGGGAAGAGTGATATTTGTCAGTACTAAATCTAAAAGTAAATTTATGATGGAGTTATGTGTCTTCCTAATTATGAGGTGGGAAAAGAAAACAGTGGCATGTCAATATAGGAAAAAAAATTCCAGAATCCTTTTAAGAGCAGTGTATTCCAATTGCACATAGGAATTTTAAAACATGAAGAAACAGAGCAAGGGGAAGAGTAAGGAAGGCAGGAAGAACGTTATGAAAGGCAAAGGAACAGTTAAATCCAGTTAGGTTCAAAGTGAAAACATTAAAAGGTAAATCAAAATGCCATCATAATTAATTACATTGTCCAAACTGAGCCATTACATACAGACACCAAATTTCTCAAAGGACTACAAAATACCCCTTACACATTATATACCACATTATATCACACATTATATACTTTCTCATGGTATCAGAACAAAGGGCTGAAGCAGCCTCTCTCATTCAAAGGGTATTTATAGTACAAGATGAAGATGCAATGTGTATGTTCATCAAAAATACTGCTAGATAGTCCCAGGATAAAAGACTCTTTGGAACTGGGCATTTTGACCTACTCCCAAAGTTGCATTAAAATGATTCAAATCAGCTATCTTTATAGAAAATCATCTTGCTAAATTATACACTGTCGGAAAGTGCCAGCCAGCCTTCCAATAAATCCCCACCACTGTGGATCTGCTTTGCACACCCATTCCAGAAGAACTGTGGACAATCAAGTGGTTTATCAGAAAGCAGCAAGTATTTTCAAACTTTTCCTTTTTGTCTCCCACTGTGGCTCTCTTTCCATTATTAACCCATTTGTACTCTTCTTTGAATAGAAGAAGGGGACGACAGAGAATGAGATGGCTGGATGGAGTCACTGAAGCAGTAGGTGTGAATTTAAATGGACTCCAGAAGATGGTAGAGGATAGGAAGACCTGGAGGAATGTTGTCCATGGGGTCGCGATGGGTCGGACACGACTTCGCAATTAACAACACTCTTCTTTGAGACAAGCAAAGCACCCCAGTTTCCCTACCTCCTGATTTTTCTCTGGAGAAAAAAATACCATGCAACCTGAGTAAATTGCTCAGGAGGAAGAGGAAACTGAACAGAGAAAACAAAGCAATTACCCAGTGATAACAGGAGTGGTAAAAAATGTAAACCCACTAGGCTGCAGAAGCGTCAATGTAATTTAAGCACAGTCCTTGTGAAATTCAGTAACTTCCAGTTATATGCCACTTCCAAAGATATATCAGCCTAAGTCTCCTTATCTATTTCCAGTCAATTTCAGGATCTCCATCTGACTTAGTGTCTCCCTAGAAATAAAGACCACAAGTGGAAATAAATATTTAAAAACATCAGGCTAAAGCTTTCTGGATTTATCACCAACAATGGGACCCAGCTCAGCCTGGTAAACTCTGATCCTTCTCTTATCCACCACCCCGTCCTGGTTTAGAAAACAAAACTAGGAGCTCCCCCCAGCTCACGGAACAGTCCATCATCCAGGGCTATCTGTAAGGTGATGCACATTCAGAACGCATTTGAGAGCAGCTGGAAGTCCTTGGTCTAGTGACCTCCTCCAAAGAAGCCGTTTTCAGTACCATCTGTTCGGAGGGGCCTGTTTCCTTTCCCAGGATTAGGTGTAGTGGAATACTTGGGTGGGTAACGGATGAAGAGCCGGTCTTCTTCCTTCTTTATCCAACGTAACAGTTTGGTCAAGACATTGATGGCACCAGCTTTCGTCACCAAAGGATTGAAACAGGTATATAATTCAAATTTACTTGTAACCTGTGAGAACGGAAAAAAAGACAGACCATTCAGGCTGCACAGCTACCACCGGAGAACAAGCGTAAAATTTTAACTGGAGAATGCAGGGGAAGCCAAAAATCCCAATTAGGAAAGAGAGAACTTTTGAGAATAAGCAAAAGCATTAAAATACCCCAGTTCTTTCCCAATTACCAGATGGAACCTTAGTTCATTATAAAACGTATCCATGATTATGGTTCCTAAAATTTCAAATGACCAAATGAGCGCCAGCATTTCCACGAAATGCTTTTGTTTTATAGGACACGGACTTCATTAATATGTATGGTATGGAAAATTTGTTCAATGTTAAAAATACTAATTCTTAGTCATACTGCAGAGCTTTTTGAAAGCATTCAAATACTGCTATAATACATGTTTCACTAGATGTCTAAATATACTGCTATTCCTCAATACTCTGTAAATTAACAAATTGGAATTTATCATTTTAAAGCTTTCACCCTACTGCATGTATACGTAAGCTTGGTGTAGTGGCTAAAGCCCCAACACTGGGGTCTAGTCCTGCCTTAAGCACAAAACCAGCTGGGTCACATAGGGTCAGTCCTTCTCTCTCAACTATAGGAAGCAGGCAATGGGAAACCAAGAATAGGATTGTTTTGCAATTTTATAAATATTGCAAGTAACATAATTTTATGTACTATAATTATGCATTATTTATTTTATGTTTAAATAAGAAAATACTGAACATGTTAACATTTCTCCCATTTTTTAAAAAATTGGAAATAGAATTTTTCTGTCATTGCTTCAAAATACTCAGGATTTTTACATCTTCTCCGAAGAGTTCTTCCTGAGCTTTGATAAAGTAATTTCATATTCTTCCTGAAAGTAATAACTTTCTCTAGCTGATAGTTATTTTTTCTTCCTAAACCTTCCCTTTCCTTTACCACTAGTGGCAAAGATGAAAACTACTTTAACTAGTACAATGCACTTTTAAAAAGCAATATGAGAATCTTTTCCTTCTGCTTCTCCTCCTTCTGCAGCTAATAATTATTTATTTCAGGTTTAGAAAACTGTCTGATGTTACAATTATTAAAACCAATAAGGAGAGATTGATAGTAATTATGACTGTTCCATGTAGTCAGCCAGATGTTTAGGCAAGATTTGGCATTTTTATCTACCTATCAAGTATTATTATGGTTGGTGGCTTATTAGCATTTATGGCCAAAAAAACCTCAAATAAGGATTCATAATAGGGAATCAGTATGGCCAACCCCCCCCAATAAAGATTCATGATAAGGGATCAGTGAATAGGTGAAAGACTGAAGACTCCATCTCTCTAAATACTTTCCTGAAATACTTTCCTGACTTACCCTTTATAATGATCTTATGTAATAAGTCATACGAAGAAAACATGGGTTTAGGAATTGTCTAATGTCCTCATTTAACATAGGTCTAGCCCAGGGGTAGGCAACCTTGGCTCTTTTATGTCTCGTGGACTTCAACTCCCAGAATTCCTGAGCCAGCCATGCTGAGGGGAAAGAGAGAGTTTCCAAGCTGAGCCATGTTGGCTCAGAAATTCTGGGAGTTGAAGTCCACAAGTCATAAAAGAGCCACGGTTGCCTACCCCTGATCTAGCCCATCCATCTGAAAGTCTACCAGAGAGTTACTTCCTTAGTCAATAAAGTTGTCAGGCCTCACCCAAGCCAATAAAGTCTCCTTTTCAGCTACATGGTAGATGAGACGTAGAGGACGTGAGGTACTGTGGATGCGACTGTGAAGGTAGTGGTAGAGGTCAAAGAGTCGGTGCCGTTCATTCTCACTGCAATATGGCCCCTCCAGTTCTGGACTGTAGTAGATGAGAAATGAGATACTGAGGAAACAGGCAGCATACAGAATGCCTTCCACAGAATGAACTCCAGAATTTGTATACAATGAGCTGTTGCTCTACAGATGTAGAACTGAGCATTGCTAGATGTGGCAATGCTCAGCCTACTGCTAATCACTTGCTTTTAATGCCATCAGTTTTTGGAAGCTTTTCAGAATCTTCTGAAGCGACTACAAACCTGGTTCTGAAACAGGCTAAATTTGTGGTGTGCCCTGCTGTTCTATAATATATCGTACTACAGTATATAGGCCAGAAGAGGCTTTCTGGACCTTGGAAGACTCTTAATAGAAGGAACTGCAGAACAAGTTCTCAAAATAAATCACATGGCCCATTCTAATAAGGTAGGGATACCATTCATGCAGTTTTTCCCGAAGCAAATGAAGAGAAGAAAGAGGATTTCTAAAATAACATTTAAGGCACTAAAATACATCAGAGTCAACTTTACTTCTTAACATCTTTTAGATTATGTTTATAAATTTTGTCAGCTAATTGTGATCTTATGATATTCAGCCTTTGATTCCCTTCTTGCAGCCCAGAAGTCCCAAGACAAAATCTCTTTCTACACAGAGATTCCCCGAGGAAAGAAACATCACATGACTGCTCCATTTAAAACAAACTGAATAAATGCAGCTTAGCATTTCCCCCAGTTTCTGGCTGCCAGCTATAAAGAGGGGAAGAGAAAAGGAGAAGGACAGCCTCAATGCAGCAAACTTTAAAAGAATAAAAATCTAAGGTAGTTTTACCACTGAGCATAATTCAAACTGTACTATATGTTTACTGCCAGGAGTGACAAAACCCACTGTCAAATTCAGCTTTGTTTTTGACATCAGAACATCATCTTCACCTGCACATTGTCAAAGCATCTCCACAATTAAGAGGAATATTAACCTGAGATGAAGGAAAGTTACAACAAAAAAATCTCAGGAATTCTTTCTTAGGCAGGTGCAGGCCATTAAAAAAACTAGTCATATTTTCAGATTTTACTCCAAGCATGAACCGTATGCTATGACACATTAAGACATCTGTGAATATTTAGGGGAAGAATCAAAAGACAGATGAAACTGGCCCCTAAGATGACATCATAGATACCTCCTTGCTTCAGGACATATTTGGTCCTGATCACAGTTGATTTCAACCCTCCAGACTTATTACCTGGTGAATTGGGGAAGTTGTCGGTAATTATCTGGTATATCCAGAGGTTTATATATAAAGTGCCGAAGATCTGGCACTCCCACCAGCCCCACACTATAGGATGGGCTCTTTAAGTCACTTGAGAGTGCCTGCAGATAGTTCTGAGTCCTCATGCCTTCCTCGATGCGTTTCTTGCAGCCCGAGACAGAATAGAAAGAGTCCTTGTCCGTAGAGAGAAGGATGAGGCAGACAGTACATTCTGAATCCAAATAAGAAATATAAGCATAAAAGTAACAATCAGGGTTGAAACGTGGCAAACAAATAGGTGTCCAAATTTCCCCAGTTTGGAAGGCAGAAGTTGCCCCAATGAGATTGAGTAACAGGTGTAGGTCAGTAGGTTCTAACCGGCAATCTTCAATGACTGTTTTCTCCTGCACTGTGGTGACCAACTGACTCCGAGCCACCAAAATAGAGAAGACCAGATTAGGGGTGATGGCTTTTTGGAGCAAAGTGCCCAAGGAATCCCGGAGGGAGGTGGGGAGGGGTAGACAGCGTACAGCTCCAAGGAGAAAACAAGGATCTGATTCTACCAGGTTCAGCAAACGGTCAAGGATCTTCTCTGAACCGGTCAACAAGCGCCGGAGGTCATAGTTCTTTTTCCGTTCAAAGATGCGAGTGATGCTGGCCTGAGTAAGCATGCTGATGATCTGATCGTAGACATACAAAAGCTCCTGGCGTAGTTGCTGCTCTGATTGTAGGGTATGCGAAACTGAAACCAGTACCAGGGGGCCCTGCTGCACAAAAACCAGTTTGTGATCATCTGTAGTAAAAGAAAGGAGGAAAAAACAGTCATTGCTTCAGTAGATGAAGTGTGGCATTATTATAACAATTTTGGACACTCAACAAATGCAATATTAGCTTTCTTAGAATCCCCGTTTCCCTTTTCCAAAAAAAAAAGTTAAATCAAGGATTTACTGTACAGGATTTGAGCTGATGGAGCAAATCTGGGCAAAGAAGAAGAATCTCAGTATAAATGCCAGGAATTGGGAAAATAGACCATGAAATAAAAAGTGAGCAGAATGCATTTTTGTTATCCTAAGGATTTGAGGAGTCTGTTTTTGGTCCTGAAATGTATCTTCTACTGAGTAAAACTAGAAACAAATCATAAATGAGATTATATCTAAGAACATTTTAATGACGGTGTGGCAAAGAAATTCAAGGACTGAATGAAGTAACAGTGAAAACTGCTCCTACATTGAAGATGCTGGAAGGAACAGGTCTTACAAATAATATTTTTAATATTATTATTTTAATATTTAATATCCTATTTTGATCTATGGTCAATAGTTTGAAGTCAGATAGTTTAATGCAGTTAAGAAAAAGAGATACATTCCTCTAATTACTCCACTTTTATCAGTACAACCAAGTAATACTAAAAACTTGTGATGGTTATTCTAGAAATGAAACTGGTTCAGCTCCTAATGATTTTGCAAGTATTTGCTTCTTTGATACTATGATACTATTGTTCACTTTTAAAATTAATATGAAAATCTGGCACCTTGAATCAAGTTTAACAACTTGGCAATATTTGTCACTGCCATTTCCATCCTTTTTTGACTGCCCAACTTCATCAACAGTCCTGGAATACCCAGGAAATGGTCGCTTAATCCCATCCAAATACTACACTACTAACGTTTTCAAGATTTGTCTAGATTGGCTATGTGTGACAGGGATCATGTATCTTCTAAATATCTCACTAAGCACTATGTTTTCAGGTTATATTAAACAACAAAAAATAACTTATCGGAAATGAGAATTATAGTCTGATAGTGAAATATAATTTAAATCGTATTTAGAATTTTAAATATGAATGTATTTAAATAAATATAAATATATTTATATTTAAATATGAAGTTTCCTATCTAAAACTTCACACGAATCTGTTTTAAATTAAATCCATCCAGACGTCAATGTCCATAAATCCCAAGCTAGGTTGGCTGAGAATTCTGGCACCAAATCACATATTAGTTCAGTGCATGAACTAATTAGTGCATTTCCCTTAATTAGAATTTGGTGACGTCAGCTGTCTTCTAAACTTTCTGCTGGGAGCGTGAACATGTGGTTGGGAACTTTAAAAGGAAGCATGCATTTGCACCAAGCAGGCACTCGGCTGCACATATCAAAATATTAATAGCATGGCAAAAGTTCCAGAATTAAGATGTGCTCACCGTAAACTACTTTAGAGTTTGGGTTTTTTTCTTTCCTGGATAAAGAGTTGCTCATAAAATCACCTTTCTCTTTGCTCAGCATAATACTACATCATAGTCTGTGGTTTCTACTAAGACAAAAGCCAGAATTTTATCTATTAAACTTAGAACTAAAATCAAATACAAGCTGGAACAACAATTTCTTTTTAAAACAGTCAAAGCATGCTTTCATTCTTCCAGCTATCCCCTTATGTATCTATTCTCCGAGTTCAACTGCCCATCCCACCTAGAACATGTTATAATAATTTTGTCTTAATACAGGTAGTCCTCGACTTATGACAATTGAGCCCAACATTTCTGTTGCTAAGTAAGACAGCTGTTAATTGAACGTTGCCCAATTTTACAACCTTTCTTGCCCGAGCTGTTAAGCAAATCACTGCCGTTGTTAAGCTGGTAACACGGTTGTTAAGTGAATCGGGCTCCCCCATTGACTTTGCTTGTCAGAAGGTCGCAAAAAGTGATCACATGACCTCGGGACATGCAACTATCATAAATATGAACCAGTTGACAAATTTCTGAATTTGGATCAGGTGAGCATGGAAATGCTACAACAGTCGTAAGTGTGAAAAATGGTCATAAGTCACTTTTTTCAGCGTTATTGTAACTTCGGTCACTAAATGAAAGGTTGTAAGTCGAGGATTACTTGCAATTAGCAATGGAGAAAATACAGTAACATATTGCATGTTCTTCTGGCATGTGGAGTTTTAAAAAGTTTACTAAAAAAACCTGTAGCAAAAAGGAATACTGTACATTCTGTTTTCCATGTTATTCTTTCCATATTCAGGAAGGCTGGATATAGCAAGCAGCTACCTGACGGAGGCCCAGGTTGGCCACACCTCTTCAGCAGTGGGAGGAAGAATAGCAGTAGCACTTAGACTTATATACTCCTTCACAGTGCTTTACAGCCCTCTCTAAGCAGTTTACAGAGTCAGCAAATTGCCCCCAACAATCTGGGTCCTCATTTTACCGAGCTCGGACGGATGGGAGGCTGAGTCAACCTTGAGCCGTTGAGAATCGAACTGCTGGCAGTGGGGAGTATACTGCATCCTAACCACTGCGCCATCACAGCTCTGGTGAAAGTCAGCTGGGGCAATAGAGACAGAGGCGTGCAGGGGCAGCAAAGCATAGGGCAGCCAAAAAAGGTGAACTTGAAGGGGGAGATAGCGAGGCAGGAGGCGAAAGTTCAAGTGGAGATGAGTAACACAGAGCAGGAAAAGCATAAGGTCCTCGCTTAACAACAGCACAGTCTTGGCCTAATGACTCCAACTGGCACTATTAGAACTGCCATCACTAAGTGGTATAGTCACATTATGCTTCACCTAATGACTACTTTGCTTAGGGTCAGAAATGCTGGTCCCAATGAGGGTTGTTAAGAGAGGACTACCTGTATATCAATTCATACTTTGCCTTTTGTTCCTTGAATTTCTCATCCTTGACTTTTTGAGAAGTTCATCAGTGTAGCAAAACTGAGATTTCCTTGGTCTTCCTCCTGATCCCTTCACTCTTCCTTTATAGATTTGTTCTTCAATATGATCCTCGTTCATTCAATTTTTCAACATAAACTATCAAATGTCCTGCTTTTAGACTTACATTCCTTTCTTTGGCATTTATTCACACAAACCTATTTAAACCACATTTTCTAAACAAATACCTTTTTCTAAGCAAATATTCACTAACTATCACCATTTTCATTTATTCCTGTGTCTTCAAATGGCCCAGGGACTTTTTCTATGGTTTTTTAATCTTCCCATCTACTTGCTTGTCACTTAAAAATATTTTTTTCCTACCTCACATTTATTCAGAACGGTGCAATATTTTCCCTAAAACTTATTTGTGGTTGATCCAATTTATATTAGCCGATACACTGTTATCCCTTTTATTCATAATTTAACTCTACACTTTCAGTTCTGTACATGAATTCATCAACTCTGCTCTACAAAATTTGATCACCTTCATTCAGATCTATGTCCACCTTCCCCTTTATAATTTCCCAAGACACCTCATAAGTATTTCTTCCTTTCCCTTTCATTTCATTTGTTGATTCATGCCCTTTAAGATATACTTATTTCATCAATGGAGGCTTTTTTTTAGTAAGATAGGAAAAATATCAACTAGGTTACCAGCTGTAGCTATACCCACATTATGCAAAGCATTACCTGCTAACATTTAAAGACTGGTCAGGTTTGAACAGATTTTGGCCAGTATACTAGAAACCTAACCAAAACTCAAGTTTTACATCAAGCAACCCACTATATTCTATGCACAGTAAGATTTCTAATTTAGAAATTACTTTATGAGTTGGCATACATTTCACTACCTACAATACAGTATACATATATACCATAGTATAATGACAATCTCAAGATATTAAGTAGCAAGGGAAATACAACTGTTTTGGGGGAAATGGTTAGACCAGCCTACTTGCAAAGGGTCTCAGACATTTTAATAAACAATATTTATCAAAATGGGCACAAACATGCCAACTGATCCATAAACCAGTGCTTAAATTACGTGGGTGGCCCTTAATGAATTCTAAGCACTGCAATCCCAAGCTTTTCTTATTTTAGATAAATCACAGGCAACATACAACCCTCCTAATAAATTTATTAAGAGCATTACTCCTTTAAAAAAAAATCCATACCAGAATAAATGGAGCGAATAGAGTTATCCCCACTTTGGATGAATGACACCAGTGCCATCATGACACCCATGGTGGAACTAAGGGCTTCTTCATTGCCGTAACGTGAATAAATGGGTTTCCCAGCCTCACTTAAAATGAAGACATGTTTCCTGTGTGCCCGCCAACTCTCTGCAGTCACATCTTCATCGCGGTATGTAGCCAGGCGTGACTGTATCACTGCTTCCTGTTCTCCTGATGGTCCATCTCCTATCACCATTTGTCGGTGAAACTCATTCGAATCTTCCCAAGTGTTGTCAGTTGAGGTTGAATCAGACACATCTTTGTCACTCAATTCCTCTGGGGCTTCTCTCAGCTCCTCCTGCCCGTTCACTTTGTCAATTACCATACTCATGGGTCCATTATTTGGGGCAGCAGCAACTTCTTCCTGCTTTTCTGAGACAGAATAGGACTCATCCCCATCTGGAAAAGCACATTGAGAAATCACAGGAAAAAAAATCCAGAAGTAATCTTTGTCTCCACCCCACCCACATTCCATAAGCTGAGTCAGTAACTAGGGATTCCCATTTATTGGGCAGATTATAAAACTATATCAATGAATAAAGTCTTCACAACAAATTCAGTAAGCTTCCCACAACATATGTATCTCTCCCACTGTCATAAATCAAATGATCAAGTCTCTCTTATTTTTTCATAATGCCTGAATTAATTCCCAGAAAACGGGATACTTTGGGTGGGTGGGATTTGATTGCTGCAAGTGGCTAGGGCTAACCCCTATATAAGAGAAAATGCTTGGGGGGTGTGTGCTTTTTTGCTCACAGCATAATTTTCATGTAGTTCTCTCCTGAAAATGGTAGAAAATTATACTATCAGTTTTTGGCAAACATGGTTAGGATAAGCAGGGGCCAACGCCTGTTTTGTTTCCATTTGTGTGTTAAATGAATGCAGGGTTCATAGATCTTGCTAAATCAATATTTGTTTTAGCCACAAGTTTTTGAATTTCTTATAAATGGTACATTAATACATACCACTAAGATATGGCTGGCTTTGTACAACATACTACGCCAAAAGCCCAATTTCTCCCCCCCCCCATTATACTTTAGTAAGGTGTGTGAATTTAAGTATTATAATAATTTAAAATATTTTATGGATTATTTTGTGTGAAAAGTCTATTGTGGCTTGGTCAATAAACCATACTTAACATATCATGTGAATACGGTGCTCACTATTTTTTTATGAATTGTTCTTCCAAGCCCACTTTTTTTTCCCCATTAGTCCTAGTGCTTTTGAAAATAAAAGGTTACATATCTGCAAATGTGTGGATTCACATACAATTCTTATCTTTGCTTTTCCCTTTGTTGTGCAGAAGTTTAAACTGTACATTTTTGGAGCAAGGAATGTATCATTTTCTGCTTACAGCCTTTGGAACAGTACCACATATATTGGTTGAACCAAATTCAGTTCAAGTGATGATCCCATCAAACTAGCCAGCTTGATCCAAATAGTGACTATAAAGTGAAAAGAATCCAGCGTTGGAATGAAAAGCTCATGATAGCCAATCAGAAGATTTGGAATAGAAGAAACACACTGTATCAAGGTTAGGCCAGGAAAGGTATAATCTTATGTAGTGGGTGCACCGACAAAATAGTTGCCCTGGAAAATCTGCCTGTACACAAAATGCTTGCCACAAATTATTCACTTCCCAGGAATTAATCTACTTCAGACAAGATGCTCTCCATTAAACCATAGAGACCTAAAAGGCAGTTATTGTAAATAAATGTTGTGAGAAGCTGATGTAGCTTTCAGCAAGTGGTTTCCTATTTATTTTTTTTAACAAAATGAATCTAAGTTAGACAATGAATCTAAGTTAGAGCCTGGTGGTCCTCAAAGGGGGGTGTATTTGAGCACTACGCTTTCTGCCCCGCTCTGTAGCTCCAAACCAGATAGCTCAAAGTACTCACTTCTGTCTGTAGGATCCAGCCCACATTTCTGGCCAGGGAGCTCCATTTCCCCTTCACAAGGTAAGCCTGGCTCTTTGTTCTCCATCTCTACATCTCAAACAACAACTGCAAAGACAAAAAGCAAACATGAGGAAATTCTCTGAGTAGCAAACAGGATGCAGGTGCTATGGTGCCTCCTCACTAGGCCCAACCCATTTCTCAAATTAGGAACAGAGCTACAAGTAACACCTCCTAAGAGTCCTGTGCCCTCCACCCTAATAACAAACAGTGTGCAACTCTTCAAGTCGGAATGTACCAACCCCGATTGAGGGAAAGGACACAGCCACTTCCAGGCTCTTTGCAAAACTCAATCTGCGATATGTGCCTGTTGTCCCAGCTATAATCTCAATCACATGCCCAAGCAGGGGTTGCCTCAAAGAGACAGCAGGAAATGTTGTGTGGCCACGAGCAATTTTCTGGAGCTGCATTCCTGGGGGTGGCTGCATCTCCTTAAGCAATCTTCTTTGTTTCTGTACTGGCTATAATTGATAAAATTCAACCAAACTCTAAACTTCCTTTACAGAAGACAGTCCTCAGCCTGAAAAGCTATTTGCCAGAATTCTGGTTTAGAGATAAAGCACCCTTAAAAAGGAGCAAAGACCCTGAAATTGGCCATTAATAATCTGTACAAGGACAGGGGGCTGAAGGGGCTAGTCGCAAAGACATTCACAGGTTAGCTTTCCCCATATTAATGGTATGTTATTTATATAATTATTTCAAATAAGAAAAAAAAAACATGACATCAATAAGCACTGAGTATATAAACAATGTGTAATAAAGTCCAAAACAAATAAAAAACAAAGCCAGTATAGAAAAAATATATTTTGTAATCTTAGAGAGATGAAATCTTAAATATCCATTATTCTGTAAAAACAATTTTACAGATGGAGATACATCTAATTCTAAGTTTTCATCCAAGCATATAAATTCACACAATTTTTACATGAACATATGTCCAGATTTTCTTTGGGGAGAAATATGTTCTCCCTCTTTTGACCTTCTAGTGGATAGACTGTGTTCACACAAGGTATTTATTATTAGCGTCCTCAATTAGTCTGATTAGGAGTGCGTAAACTATAAACTAATTCCACTGACTAGGTTTACACAATAGGTTGGACTATAGTGTACTTGGCTGGTTTGTCATCCAATGTGTCAAATGAATACTGAACAAAAATTGGCTGTGCTCATACTTAAGAAAAAGAGAAAGATTTGAAGACATGTCTACATTTTTTGCTGTTCTATTTTGGTTTAAAGAGAACAGAAATAACCTGGAAATAAGCAGATACCAACAAGGATATATCTTTTTTTACTTTAAATTGTTACAGAAGACATTTTGGTAACTTATCATGTAAAGAACAACTAAAAATGAACCTGCCAGCTATGAAGAATTTTTATTTTTCTAATTAAAATGTCCCATATACCCAGTTGAGAAACAAAGACAAATATTGATATAGACTGAAATCAGATTTAATACACATGGCATTAAGATATTTTGTTAACCATGAGTTAAAAATCATAATGAATAAGCTACACTGGAATAGATTCTCACATAACAGAAAGACAAAACCCCTTACCTGTAATCCATAGCTGTGGAGCAACATAGCATAAGCCAAAACCAAGCGAACCACATTATGACTTAGTACAGCATGTGAACCTAGCCTAAGGAGCTAGAAAACTGTTTGTCTCAAAAGATTAAGACCAGGGGCCATTCAGCAAAGCTGGCTCAAAAAGAGGTTTACAGTCAAAGCTTCTTACAAAGCACATGATCTGTAGAGTGTATATCACAAGACATGATGGTGGCCAATAACTTAGATGGCATTAAAGGTACTAAATAAGTGCACAAAGGACAAGTACGTTGAAAATTATTAGCCTGGAGACTCAACTTAACCTCTCAGCTGGGGACATCATGTCCCTAAATATCAATTTCAAAAGAAAGAAGAAGCACAAGTCTCCATCTCTTATCTGAAACCTGAGGTTTCCCCCCCAAAAAAAAAATTAAGTAAAGGATACAATTGAAGATTTAGACAAGAAACAAGATTACCAGCTAAATCAGTACAGTACAGTAGTTGGTTTCCTATTGTGCACAATCTGTCATTTCAGCTGCTGTTAAACTGAGAAGTTTCTCTTGTAAAAGTATCATTCTCAAATTTACAACAGGCTTGTAAATATTCTTCTGGCTGAGTTAAGAAATACCTTCAGATTATAGCGCAAGAAAATTTTTACTAACTGGAAACAGAGATGAAGGGAGAAGAAAAAATGTACCTGAATATTTCTTTTTGCTTCCTAGGTCATTAGGCCACTACCATAGTTAAACATGGGCAATCGGTAAAAAACATGTCAATAACTTTTGTTAACTGATTTGCAAAGCTGCTGCCTGAATTTCTAGTTTGTAGACAATCTGTATGCCATCTCAAATAGTGAAGCCAACCCAATACCTAAATAGGGGATTTAAAATTGCTGCATTCAGAACAGTCTAGGTCTCCTTCAAGAAATTGTTCAACTCCCTCAGTCCTCGAGATGGGGGGGGGCGGGGGCAGGGCGGCAGCAATATAATCATGAATAGCAATTTCCATCAGACATAAAACCATTGCCAGAAACATGGTAAACCTATATGTATACAAATTAAAATCAATAAAATCAGCAAAAATTCTCCAAATTTTTGAAGGATCTCATGCAAGAACCCTTAAACACTAAACTAAAATAATAATAAACAAATTAAATCATATTTGTTTAATGATAATAAAAAAGTTGGGTTCCATAGGAGACATGGTGTTATGCTGCCAACCCTAGAAAAAATCCTACCCAAACGATGCAATAACACCATCCCTGTCCCAAAGCTGGCATCTGGAAAAATGGAAAACTGCTTCACTCTCAAGTTCCATATACTGCTATCCTCACCCTCAAAGGCTGGTTAGAACTAGTTATGCAGTGCTGGGTGATATTGTTTAAAGTTCAGTTATCATACTGATGACACAAGTACAGCAGTATGGAATAAAGCATTACTGTACTACATAGCTAAACAAATATGAGATGGGTATTATTAACATGAAGGCAATATTTTCCAGAAAGTAAGAATCTCTTTCACAAACACGCTATAGTATCAGAAGCAATGAGGTTACTGACAGCCAAATAAAAAAACAATCTGCTATAGGATTGCTTACCAAATCAGCTTGTCTCAAACAAACAAACAAACAAATAAATCTGAGTTCACCCCAGGATAATTCAGGAATTGGACAATCTCTTTGACAGGCACCTGTGTAAACCAAGCAGCCTGCAAAGAAGATGGTAACCATTTATTAATTTCAAGTAGAAGATGCTGCATGTTTCAAACCAAAAGCATGGAGACATATCCTTTTCACTAATTTCTCAAGCAATTCCTACCAACACTACCTGAGAGAGTTGAAAGATAAGGTATTCCTTTTATCTATGGCCAGGTCAGAACGTCTCTTTATCTCTGTACACAAGCCTACATCTATTTGCAAGGACATCACCATCCAGTATTAGACAGACATCAAGCCATTTAAGAAGTTCAGAAAGGACAGCACTTACATTTTCAGAATGCAACCCCATATTAGCAGGTTCAACAATTTCAGAATAACTCAGCCCCACAAGTTTCCCTTTCACAAAAAGACTTACAACCCCCTTTTCCCCCCCACTACGTGTCCTCCTCTACTATAAGTGAGTGATCCAAGGAAACAAATTGGCAGAAAGTGCCAAGATTACTAAAATGGAGCTTGTTTTGTTTTCTTAGCATTGTTTACAATTAGTGGATAATTCTATAGGTGTTGCTGCTTCTAAAAGATTTTTCATTCAGAGGAGTCAGATGTAGCCCTTTGTTGTTTCCATAAAAACGATTTCCTATCATACCATTGGCATGTTAGCTGTGCTTTTGGGCTAAACCGCTGCAATTCTCTGGCGCCATGGAGGCTTTTGCCACACTCCTTAGAGTGTGAATCCTTAGAAATTCAACAAACGCAGAAATCTATTAGCTTAACTTTGGAGGCCGACAAAGATTAGCTCTATGAGCAGATATTAGTTTCACGGTGAAACCAGAAGCTCCAAGCAGCACCCTTGAGGACACGAAGAGCAGGCCAATCAATACCTTTTCCCCAACTTCCTTGGGATCTTTCCCAGCACATCTGGCCGGATGTTTCGGAAAACAGGATACTGAACCTGATGCGCTGTTAGAACTAGTCCTGCAAGGTCAGCCTTACGTCAGAACCCTTCTCGGGAGCCTTCAGTTCAATCGGAGAGAAGACCTGAGGCCATCCGATTTGGAATGAAGGAAAACCCCGCAGGCTCGCTACCGGCAGCCCCACCCCCTAACCCTGCGAGAGAAGGGAGAGCCGAAAACGGATCCCGCGCTCCCACTCAGTTCCAAAACCACCGGCTTTCTTTCTCACCATAGACCCGGGATCTGCTCGCCTTCCCATCGCAGAAACAGATCCCCAGCACTTCCTGATTCGGAATGGCAGAAGGCGGGGAAAATAGAGACATTGACGGCCACCTCCACTAATCACATAACGCATGGAGAGGAGGCGCGGCTTGCCGAAGTCCAAACGCGAATCGTAGGCCGCACAGTCAGAGCGAAACGGGGAAGACCAATGAAATCCTCGCTTGACAAGTACGTCAATGAAAGGGGGGCAGAGGGGAACAGTGAGAAGCCGGAGAGAGTGACAGGGAAACTGGCTAATCAAAATGGGAAGATAAAAGGAGAGGCGGGGCAATCCTTCCTAAGACTGAATCAGTCATTGAACCATAATATACTGGGTGAGAGGAGAGGGCTGGCTCAAATCAGAACTTCAGCCAATTGCGATGGTCACATTTTCCTCTCCTACCAATCAGAGAGAAGACAATACTTTGGAAAACGAAACCAGGCCGGCGAAGTTGCTGCAAGCTGTCATTGTTTGCGGAGTGCTGGGGAATGACGTCAGCTTGTATGCTTTGGCACCGCTTGTTCATTTGGTAGGAAAACACTGGCGCTTGATTGTTTAGCAGTGGCTGCTGTCATTGTTGTCCTTTGGAGCGAAGTCCTTTTGCACTGCGGTACGATGTTACAGTCATCACAAACTCAGACTCGGACACTCTAAGAATTGATTCTCTGGGTCGTTTCTTGTAAGGCTAGTAACGACACAAATACAAAACCGAACGTTTAAGAAAAACGACAGAAATTAGCATTTTATACCGCTTTCGTTAGTTTCTTCTTCTGGTTCCTATTTTGATTTCATCTCCGTGCAAATGCATATTCCTCCCTGCTTTGAGATCTAGTGTTCGCAACCACATAAAAGAACCGCGAAATGTGCAGAGCCTAGCTTGAAACAAAAGGATACATGGATAAAATAAAGCCTGAATATACAATTACAGATTGGAAGAAGATAATTTTTTTTGTACCCGAAAGTGAGGGTAAAAAAGAAAAACAAGCTGGAGGCTCTTTCTCTTACAAAATGACAGCAGTCGAACATAAGGAAGGATATATAAGAGGGAGATGGGTTGGTCATTGCTTTCTTCCAGGATATTTTTTTTTAAATTCCAGGTTTAGACCAGAGCCTTGGGCTTTCTGATTTTCATTTCAAATAATATCCGACCCTGCTTAGCTTTTATGACTTATTTTCTGTTTCATTTTTGGGGTGAAAATGCAATGAAAATGTACATTAGTAGCCATAAAGTGATTATCCAGTCAAGAAAAAAATATACATAATTATTAAAGTCAGCTAAAACTGACAAGGAAAAAAGCTGCATGTAATAGCAAAAATTCAAACCTTTAACATATTATTCAATGTGGATCCTATAGAAATAAATATAGAGTTCGTTGTTTCATTTTAACTATGTAAAAACATCCCCCCCCCAAAAAAAAATCAATAAAGACACATATCATGAATCCACTAATTTGCTAAGGTCAGCCAGATGCCTACAATGACTTCTCTTCACAGATTAAATTAAGGAAAGGCAACTAGTAACCACAAGCTCCACTGGACCTTTAGCATCTTCTCCAGCTCTTGCCACACCTGCATTTCCACCTTACCATTCTAGTGTGCCCCATAAACCGAACAAGGTTTGTGAGCTGCTTCCAACCAGAGAAACAACTATTTTTTTTTTCTTGAATGAGACTGAGACAGCCATGGAACTGCTTGCCTGGCAGACCCTCTCTCCCCAAAATGCAGTCCCATAAAGCAGCCATCTGGCAACAATTGATCCTGCACACTGAAAAAAAGAGAACAGCCCTCTTATCAAGGAACCAGATCGCTTTCTCCTTCCTGCGGGTCATGTGGAGATATGGTAGAAAAGGTACAGCTCCCCTGCAAGAAGAGCTGATGCACGTTAAAGGAGGACTAGGAGGCGGAAATGAAGTAAATATCCTATATAAATATCAGAAGTGCTGCCTACAACTATTAGATTTCTAAAGTAAATTTTTAGAAAACTAATTTAAAATTCTCTGTATACTAGTAGTCTAATGCCTTACTGTAGCATTTTGCATAATAGACACTAGATGGCGAAATTGGAATCTATAAAACCCAATTTACATTTGGAAAACCTCACTATTTTGTAAGAAGAGCACTTCTAGATCAGAGCAAGGTTTTTTTTCCCACAAAAAAAATTTAGATGGCAACGTTCCTTGCTGAATTTTCACAGTTAAATATTGGTATTTCTGTGTTACAATAAAGAAACTAGTTATTTGCACTCACTGTCTAGATTCTAGAGGATAAGGGAACAATGAATTATTTAGAAAGGTTATATTGCCACTTTTTGTATTTGCTTCCTCCTTTTGGAATTAATGTCATATTGGTATACAGAAACCATTTATTAAGAATGACAATTTGTAAGTAGTTCCTCTCTTTCTGAACATATATTGCATGAAACATTTTGATTTTGGTTTGAAAGGTTAAAAAAAACCAGGCATAAGTAGGAGATAACACCTGTTTCAAACCAACATTTTGTAATTCTGGAATTCCACCATCTCTCTCCTCCCTCAGATACTTAAAGGTATATATGTAACACCCATATGTACATTCATAATCTGAATATTTGTGGAAGGAAATAAGAAAGAAGTGGGAGGTGTGACGTATCTCACAAAATGACAAGAGAATGATCTTCCCCAAAGCTATGGCAAATCAAATATCCATACCTTCAAAGATTTGGATTTTTCTTCTTAACTTCATTAAGATAAAGAGGTATGGAAAGAATGTAAAATATGGATTATTATCAAAAGCTACACTATGCTAGATAAAGCCTAGGATATTGGCTAAGTTCACCAAAACAATTTTGGCTACTTAGTGCCCCCCTCTATTTTGCAAAAACAGCTAGAGTGGTTAGATTATGGTTCACAGAGTTGTGAAAACCCAGGAATTGTTAAGTCAATGAACTATGGTTGAGTTAACCATGATTTAGCAAGTTGGGCAAATCTACTCTACTAAAAGATCTAATAAAAGGACTATTGTCTAGTAAAAAGACAAGTACAAATGCACTGCAGCAACTCACACCAGAAAAAAGGAGACAAATTACCTATATAACATCTTCCAACAAAATGGATACCCACACAATTTTATTAAAAAGTCCCTGACTACTTAACTCACCACAGCATAAGCAACACACACAAGCAATAAAAGGATAACACTACCATACATAAAAAATGCCTCAAAAACAACCAGCAAACTATTACAATTAGCCAACTACAACCCTCAAAAAATTCTTATGTAAAACAAAAGACCTGGTAGCCCACAAGGGGAAAAAAAGGAGTCTTCTAAAATGTAAGGACTGCAACACCCAATATGTTGGACAGGCAGAAGACTAGCAGAGAGCATCCATGAACACTAACTAACAGGCAGAAGACATGATGAAAACCCCTTAATGTCATAACACATGGACAGATCAACCATAGTTTCAACTGGGAAAGTGAGTATCCTAGACCAAGCCAAATCCAAAAATGTTAGGGAATTCCTGGAAAGTTGGCATTCAGACAAATCAGTCATCAGCAGAAACATAGAAATAAATCACATTGATCTACTGTTCAAAAGAGACATTTAAAAAGCTAAGAAGGAAACAAAAAGATTACACAGATCCTCTCTAGCAGCCAACACCCCAATAAGCAGAGATTAACACTTTAGCAAACAATCAAACAGAAAACAATACTGTACCCTAATCAAGAAGCTATCAAGGAGAAAACCCGACCCCCACCAACACTACAGGGCAAGCTACTGCATATAAACAGGGAACAAACCTCATACCGCTAGCACTGATCATGTTATCTAGTTTGGTAAAGAAACATCTACAACCAACTCAGCACCAAGTTTAATCCCGAACCAGTTATATTGTCTTCTATTGGAAATAAAAAAGTTTGTTTAAAAATATCTCAGGTCTAAGAAAAACGAACAATAGGTCTTTGAAACTCTTATGTTCAGTTGGCTATTGTAACGGTATGTGGGGATGACTTTGGGAGTCAGGGAGACAGGAAGAGAAAGAACCACAAACTTGACACAATCAGACAAGTGGCAGCTTTTTCCATAAAAGGAATGGGCACAAGGGAAATATCTCACAAGGGACCCTCCCTAGTTTGTTGGACTGTAAAGGTGAGTGGGGGGAGACATGCACTTTCAGACTTAAAAGATTCTGATAGTGTAACTTTACAGTAGAGGTAACGCTAGTACATCTGGGTGTGTTTCTTGTCTGGACTACCTAACAAGGTTGACAATTATTAATTTACATATAAATGAATACTTTTGAGAGGTAAGCCACACCGTCATTAAGAAGTGCTTTCCATAGTCTGGAATCCTTGTTGCTTATGTGGGGCCTCAACCCAGATAGGAAGCTTTTTAAATAGTTCCTTTCATGGGGAGGCAGTGGCCACCGTGGGTGGGCAAAGGAGACCCAACCTGCAGATATGCTGCTCTCTCGCAGTTCTAACCGGTCACCACACAGGCTGTGTGTTTTCTCTGTGTTTAACCGAGCTAACCTGTCTTCAACCTCATCTTCTGGGTTCACACAAGACATTAGGCTAAAATATGGCTGACTGGGTTAGCTTCACTGTATTGTGCACCCAGGGACAGAATTTCCACACAGAGAGATACTGTAAATTTTCCTAGTTTTATTTCCTGCAGATCCTAATCATTCTGATTTTACGCCATCCTTCTCAAACAGGAATTGCTTTAGCCATCCAGGGTTTTCCGACAAGATATAAAATTTCTCCTCTCTTCATTTCCTCTTTTAGGCTCCCAAAATATATACACCGGACATACTCATTGTTATTTCCAATCCGACTGGAATGTTGAAAAAAAAATGATGTAAAGGAGGTTGGAATTGTTCATCAGCACACAGCTCTCCAAAAACT